GCAAATTACTGCGAGCCTATACTTCGAAAAACCTTAAAACATACACTATTCTTTAAACAGGGGTGAAACAATTCTTACGAATATTCATCAATATCAGAACAAATAGTTGGACAGAATTTGAGCACCGACTACAGAGAAGACATTACATGTGAAAATTATATTGGAAATAATTTCAACAATTGAAATTTATACAATTCCAACTTTTCCTCAAACAAACTCATCCGAAATTCCTCAGGGTAATAATCGAAATCGAAATTATTAGAGAAATATATAGTGTTTTATTATCAAAACAAATTTATACTGTGTTTATTCAATCACATTCAGATGTTAACATTAGTAAGTAGGATAACATGAGTGAGTTTGTGTGTGTGAACGTAAGTTCAAGTTATTATTAGTTGATAAAAGGTGTTAATTTGTCTTTCATTAGCAGTAAAAATAAAAGTGCAAGTTGAAGGTTAAAATTATTTTTGAACCGTTGATGAATATGTAAAATAAGAACCATCAAATACATCACTGTAGTTCTAGAATATTCCAGATTAATTTCTGTCAGAATAATGGTGCATGTGAAATAGACAGGTTAGTCAGAGATCGGGTGGAATTTCTTGTTGATGATCGTTTGCTTCGATGACTAGATAGTTGAATAACCTCTTTTCTGATCAGACTGTGCTTATTAGCTCATATATACAGTGCTTCTCTTGCCAATCTTCCCTCAATTATGTCAAACCCTTTCTGAAATGTTTTGGTACTTTCGAAGTTGATCATGTGTCATGATTCTAACTCATGTAGCTCTATCACTGACCTGTTTTGAAGTTTCTTCAGGTCTACCGAGGATCTAGATACATGTTCCACACATTGTTTGTGTCCCTTCAAACCCACAATCAACTGTCGAGATGCGTCTCCCACATAAGCTGCATTACAATCCAAACAATCTATCTCATGGATAACATTCTATTGTTCTTCCTTTGGAAACCTATCCTTGACTTCCACTATCTCTGATTTCATGGTACCAATATCCCGAATATGTACTTTCATAATACGTTTGTTTAGAATCATTTTAACGATAAAATTGTCTAAATTATGTAATAATCTCTTGGAGCTCTTGGGATACACTGCTCAGACTTCAGAAACTAGGACAGAGCATTTTTATATTGAACCCTAGCTACCAATGGTTTCAACTTAGTGAAGAAATTTTTTTTCAAGTACATACATATCCGATCAGCGGAAATCCTTAAATATGTGGTCTACAGAGTTTTATTAACACTACACATTTATTACACCTGAAGTGCTGTACAAGAACCCTAGAGAAACATTATCTATTTCCGTAGACCAAGAAATGGACGGAATCAACAGTAGAAATGATGCTTGCAGAAATGTAGATCTAGATGCTAAAATATCTAGTGATGACAGTGAAGGCATAGCTGACGCAAAAGTGGATGTACAAATGAATAATGAAAACCCTGAGCCCATTGAAGGATCTGACGATGACAGTGTGGATCTCTGTGCCGGATATTATTTGTTCCAACAGACAAGCATCGGATACGGTTCTGACGAATGGGTCAGATATTCCAGACGCATCGCATTCAGTCATTTCGTTCGTTCTGCAAGGGTTGCTGAGGGTGTCCTGCGTATGGAGTGTTACGATTATGATACGTAGTTCTGCGTTCTGTAAGTGCATACCACAGTAATACTTTGGATTGTAGATATCGACGAGCATTCAATGAGAACCCAACAAGGAACTTTTTAGGGTCTCCTCGACAAACTAACATAATACTCTAGATTAACTATTTCCCCTCAGTGTATTAACAACAGTCCGGTCACTCGATAGAAATAGCTATCTAATTACTTATCTACTAAGTGCGTATCACATAAAGCATATAAAAGATCAAGTATAACTGCCTGATAATAAGTATGAATTTCTAAATTAACGATGTCTAGGTTATTTATCGTTTCATTTGTGATTAGTAAGCTTCCTAGGCAGAATAATCTATTTAAACCTAAGCAGTTGACCTATGTCAGATGATAGTGAATATGAGTTATTTTAAGTCTGACACAAATGCATCTGTATCAATTCTCTGTTCGACATGACTTTAATATTTGCATTTATCCGTCACTGACATCTGATTTCACTACTAAATTCAAACTAGTAACGTTAACGTAATATGGGTGTACAACTATACATACATGTCACATAATTTCACGATTCATTCGGCATTGTAACGAAGTAAAAACCACACATTAAATTTGCAATAAAATTAATGACAACTTACAAGTGAATATTATATTTCATCATAGAGTACACAATGAAATTACATGTTATTACGGCCGTACAGTTGAGGAAAATGCCATTGTCCAAAGGCACATGTTCTTCACTGAAACATCGACATTCTTTTATCATTCTATTGTTCCCATGCTCGAATGTTGTAGGTAAAGGTCCTGTTTACTATAAATCTTTTATAAAGGTGTTCATTTTTGCGTGTTGACCAGGTTAATTTGTTTTCAGATCAATTCATAACTATGACCATAATAAATTTTTCTTTATTAGTAGTGAGCTTTCCAATTTCATTTGATTCGCTCGCATGTTCAGTATATTCACCATTGACATCCTATACTACACAATTTTGGTACTATACGTATTTCAACTGTGCAACAGTTTACAAATGGGTAGTTTTAAATATCTAGTTTTATCTCATCTATACGTCTAGTGACTCAGTTGACATTTAAGTGATATTCAAATTTTTTTCTTAGCTGTATAATCTAAAAATGACTACGAATACCTGAAAAAAACTTAGTCCCATGCCTACAGAATTGATGATAATAAAAATTACTATTCATCTAAGTAATTATTTTCCAGTACCATTTCTTCCAATCTTCTTCATTTGAGTCTAGTAACGACGATCAGTATTTCATTCACAGTTTAATAATACTCACTAATAAGTCTGCAAATCACTAAAAGCTTTATGTCATTATATAATAAAATTATGCCAAGTTAGTTTCCAAAATTTAAAGATTTTAATCATATGACAATATTATCCTTCGATATTAATTGGTAATGGTTATAAACATTTTGTTTGAAATACTCGCCTGTATAAATACTTTCAAATGTTGCCGTTTAGTTTAGTTAGGATATGAAAAGTGATGGATCAAATGAACTCTTTAGATAGGTAAACAATGTCTGTATCTCCAATTCATTTTAAATGAAATTACAACACACTAACTTGCTATTAAGTATCACTGCATGGGTCTATATGATTAATTTCATCGTGTGTACCATTGTTTTGATAATAAGCAAAACGGTTATTGATTCGGCATCCAATTCACTCACTAAATTCTTAATTATAGTAATATACTGGTATGCACATTTTACATTTCGAATTTATTTGGCCCTCTACATCAAATGCCTAGTTCTCGCTATACACAGAACTGACTGTTGATTATGTTTGGACAAGAGTTCAGCATTAACATATTTTAAGACTTATACATTGTTGACGATTAACATTTTCATCACTGAGTAGTTGGCCCACTAATATAGAATTTAAATACCGTTAACTGTCGCAGCTCATTATTAATTAAAGTTGGTTACTTCTAAAATTTGCTTTTACAAATAGATGAGCCTACGATCAGAACAATCCAGAGAAAATGAGGCATTATCCATGGAATTTAACCAGTCAAATTACATTAAAAAGGGTGGGTATTAGTTAAACGTTGACTACATAATTGGTTTGGACCACATAATACTAAGGCTAGATCGAATCAAACACATGAGTAACTTTCGGAAATAAAAAGTGTAGGAATATATGGATTTTGTTCGCCACCACCTCGTTGCGTAAGAAACTTTGAAGTTTTACGTTTCAGATGGATGTTGTAAGCTTTATAATTCCCTTCATGTATGAATCCATCTAACCGTTGTAAAATACTATTCAATCTACAGGCACTGCCTTCAGTACCATTCATCAAAATAAGTGAACTTATTACAAACATAGAAAAAAGCACATTTCTAGTTACATCAATTAAATCATCTTCACGAAGTAAATTTATTAAACGGAAAGATTTTTCAGCCTACAATCCATGTACAACAGATTGTATGGGAGTTCTGTTAAATAAATAGCTGAGACTTCTTTATCTAACCATCTTCAAAAGTTAGCCATGATAGCAGTATAATGGATTAAAAGATCAGACATTGATATCTTATAATTGTAAAGATCTATTTTAAGGACGATTTTGCAAATGAGTCGTTTTAGTCAAAGATCAAAGTCATGATCATAATGTGTAATACAACTGTCCTTTCGTCTACTTTACATCGTGACTAGCCTTCACAAATCACAAGATACATTAGGGAACTCATGTAAAATTATTTTAAATCTATCACTTCGTGTATAATGGATGTAATACATGAAAAAAGAACCCTGTAAAACAAGATCAAATACGTTAACTGAGAAGGAGCTTCTTTAGATGGAAATTTTTACCTATGTGCTTGCATTGTAACTTTAGTAAGTGATTGACCAGAGGAACTATGGACTGACGAATTTGTTCAGATAAAATTGTCATTAGTTTTGATGGTGAACTTTGTAAGTCTTGAGATTTAAATATTTTAAGTTTCTAATAGTAATAACTCATTATTTCTGTTAAGAAATCAGTCTTGGGGCTGAAGCTATCTCAGATAGCTTTACTAGAAAGATGTTATTTTTACAAACTACCTAGTGGATTCAAGTAGTAAGAGAAATATTACATAAAATAATGTATATTAGCGTTTGAGCTACAAAGAAGCGACTACATGAAAAATTTGTTGGGATTCTTCAAAGATGGTAAATCAACAATAGGATCTTCGTTCATAAATATCTACATTTAAAATAACAGTTACCGTAAAAACTATTCAGAGAAGATGTTTGAGAGGCCATCCTATCGCTAAAACATTTATCTATATTTCAACTTGTTTGTCCAATCACATATGGCCATTGAGGACCACCTAAATAGTGAATTCTCCTATATGTCAGTTGAGTAAACTCATATCAATGCTTTGTGAATAGATGACGTTTGCTCAAAATAAATGTGTGGTTCTAAATTTCATGGAACTCAGAAAGAGCCAGAACATTGGAATACAATGATAACAAAATTGTGCTTAAAATTTCGTGTGCAGCTTTGTTATAGAATACATGATCATCTAGATGAACGCATCGAAAATTGAAAAACAAACTGTAGGCTAACCTCAAAGAAGACGTTAAATGTGAACATTGACATGACAAGTTATATGGTTAAATAAAATATCTTATAAATTTGTCAAAATTATCAAACAGAATCATTTCCATATATGCTAAAATTATAGGTCGATAGACGAAAAACAATTTAGCCCTTCGGATTACTTCACTATGTGGCTACAAGCTGCTTAGTTGGATGGACACACATCCATTGTTCATAATATCCGTCCACCTGTTGGTTGTACGTGATAAATGAAAGAACTTGATTGTTTATTGTTGAAGATTTTGTGAAAAGTACATTCGGTTGATCTTTGAAGATTTCTCCTTTTACGAAATCTGAATAGATTGTTGAAATTTCAATAAGAGAAGCATAGATTTGGGGAGCGGTGGAAATATACAACTGTTTTTGAAAAAGGTGAGTAATGTTGAAATTTATGTTGGCAATATGGTGAAATTTTGAATTTCGCTCGCTTTTACTCCGCCCATCTCAAAGAAACCCAAAATGTAATGTAACAATGAGCAGCTTTCTACCTTTGGATTATGATTCTCGATCCTGACACATTCGTGTTAACACAAATCTAACACTTAAAAATACAAAATATCAATTTATCTTTATCCAAACATAAATCCTTCTTTACACTAATGAATTAGTCAATTATGTGACGCAACAGCAGTAATAAACTGTTTACAACTTCACGAAAATGAAATAGTAGTATGTCTTGTGCTCATTTAATTTATATATAAAATACTGTTTGCTTAGTTAGCTGGCAGGCTTTCCAGATTGTCAACCTAGTAAAATCCCAATGTTTAAATGATCTGTCCACGATATTTTCAATATTTACTAAGATGTCATGTGTTTAGCTAAGATTAGAAATACAAATTGATCCTAAAAAATGTCTGTTCAAAAGTACAATAGCTATTGCCGTCTACATTATGTCCATTAAGAACTGAATATGAGGAGGTAAGTTACGAAGTGATAGACCGAATAGTAACAATTTTATACCATTGAAATTACTACTTACCAATAGTTATTAAGGATTAAATCAAACTAAAGATTCCCTGATTGTTCTAACCAGAGGTAAAAGTGAACAGGTTTAATCAACGATTTCAGTTTGTGAGATGAAATCGTGGTGCATTAATTACCTATCTGCAGTACGTTTGTATATACTGTAAAAATGATGTTTACAGGATCAGAACCATTACTAAAGAAGAGTAAATAGTATATTATGTCGTTATAATTTATGCACACCATACAGATATGCCTCGCTAATGAGTGCCAACTAGCAAGAACCTTATGTTTCGACAGCATATAAAAAACAATTAACCAGTTTTCTTTGTTGAATAAAATAGATCCTCCGACAAAAAGTTACCTTTACATTCTAGATTAGATTAGGTTCGGAAAGTGAATAAGAAGTTTCCTACCGTTATTGTACAAAAATTATCTGTATTTAAAGACGGAATGGAAAATGAATTCAGAATATCATAGGGATTAATTAGAGAATAAATCCATAATTATTATTCGCTACTTACTTTCTATGACAGTCTTAATATCATCTTATTCAATCATTGAATATGAGTAGCAATTTTTATAAGTTTAAATCCTTCTGTTGCACTGTTCAGTGTAGCTGGTGTTAAAATTATTTGCCCTTATTCTGAGCATATTCTTGGAGCATTAATTCAGACATGAATATGATCATTAGAATTATTATAAATAAATACTAATGTCGATTCCAACTAGACTGGAAATTTAATTTTTAAAAATAAAGGATTACGTTCACATAATAACATACGTTTTCTTGGTATTATTCAATAACGATTGCTGATAAAATCATAACTCTCGAGATCGACAAGAATTGTTGTATTAATAGTTACACAACTTAGGTGTACTTGACTTTCTTATGTGTACTCGGCGTTGATGACGATATCATCCGGCTATAGAACGTCCAATAGCATATATTATTGCAGAAAAATACCCAGACAATTTACAGTGTTTGACCTGAACTATTGACTCAGTACACAGTGTTAAATCTATCGTAAGACTATTATATTTTTTATTACCTACTTACTGTAATTTAGAAATTTATGAGTTTGATTAAACACTTGTCTACTAAAATACACAGCTAGTGGGACATCGAACTTTCGAGTCATATAGAGGAATTATCCTGTACAAATCTTACATAACAACAGCAAGATATAAACAGGCTTCGAGAACAAGTGAAAATAATCTTATTTGACTAAAAAACCGGGAAAGAAAAAGAAGAACTACTTCCGAATGATACCTTAGATTTAGTCAATAAATCTGCTTTAATGTGATAGACAGAGGGTCTATTGCACAAATAGTGCAACTATCAATTTTTAGCATTCTGACCATATAGATTAAACGATTGGTTTATGGCGATAAGCTCAATAGGAAAATACTTTTCGCGATGTACTGACATCACTTGATAAACAAATGAAAAACGGGGGCACAGAACAGACCAAATAATGATCCATTAACCTACATATACACCCAACCAGGATAAGCGGGACAAGCTCTTTTCAGATAAACAAACAAACATTTTATTGTATAATCTAAGTGGAAACAAATCAAATTATAACAAATAAAATTAAAAAATTAAATCAATCACAAAAGTAAATGAAAAAAAGTTTTAATAATAAAGCGTTAGCAAAAGGAATCACTTTATTCATTGAATAACCATTATTCCAGCTGGACGACCTGGCTGACTAACGAATATCAAGTCGTTATTGCTGTTACCATCAATCACATTATAGAATTCTTCGCGTACTTTTGCAATGAATTGCTCAGCATTAGATTTTTTCACTAATGATACAGTGCAGCCACCCCAACCAGCTCCAGTTAGACGACTGCCAAAAGCACCGGCTGTTCTGTAAAATATGTATATTGAAGACAAATTATCTGCTTATAAAAGTAAATGTATATTGATTTTAATATTGTGGCTAGTGGTTGAATAATCTAGTTAGACGCATACTATACAAATCCTACTTCACAGATAACAACAAAAAGCCTGATTAACCCACAACTTACACTTCAATTAAAAATTGTTTTGAAAGTACTCACCTAAAAATTAATAATCAATAACAAAATAATATCAGTGAAAATTTCAACTGCTCATGGATTCGAAATTTTCAAATTCAGTAAACAGGTATACTCTAATTGACTCTTTATGGGTTATACCTCTCGTAAAACTTCGAAAACAATACTATCCAACTTCTAAGGTTCATGTAAATGAAGTTTGAACTTGTATATATTTAAACTGATTTCGAATTAACTGGAAGTAAATAGGAAGCGAAATTCTATTATTTTATACAGCTAACTAATCAGGTCAACTAATTTACTTTGAATTTACAAGTGGAATGCATTGAATGAAAAATACTAAATTTGGATGAATAAAGACTAAACGCTCAGTATGGTAAAAATAAAGAAAACTACACTCACGAAACTAGATGTCAAAGAGAATGCACAGGAAATGTATTGTCAATGAGTAACATGACGATACAATCTTACTACCCAAAACATAACATATGACTAAGACACTAATTTACGACTGAACGGTTGGAATTTCGGTACCTAAGCCATAGAGTTCCAGATCTCCCTTATAAAGTATTAATATAAAAAGAACACAACCTACTCAGTTCGAAAAAAAAAGTAATTAACTCCTTTTAAACACTTAAGTTAGATGAATCCACTTTGCGCAGATAAGAATGGAAAGAAATTGAGGGAAAACTTTGATCTATGATATAAAGTATCAAACATATAAGTGAACTTTCAACTCAATATTTTGGCTGAGAAGAAAACTAGCAAAATCTATTGTGAGGGGTAGGACAGAAAATAACCAACCAAACAACAATAGCTTTCAGTCGGATACATTTATGGATTGAATATATGTAGCTGTAAAATGCTTACCAGACATCAAATATACAGTGATAAGTTGACGGTAAGTAGAAAAGCAATTATTATAATAATAGCAAGACGGGATTCGTGTTGATAAGAGCAATGGAAATACATCATAAGTCATACGAAAATATCCAAATTAGATGAAAACATACATAAATAGTAGTTATATGATAAAAACAGATGAAAGAAATCGAACAACCAAGATCATGAATGTAAAAGGAGGGTTAACGAAACAAAGGAATAAATGGTGCTGCGGTGAAAAAACCCAAGGTACAGAAACATTACCTGAACATCATTGAAAAATTGGTACAAATCAGAACTTTGGGTTTTCAAAATAAATGTACATATATCCTCAGAAGAACTGTAGCTACAAATGTTTCATTACGTTTGAAAACCAAAAAGACCAAAAAAATGTTAATAGAGGATATTCTGCCAACTGTACCTTAAATTATCTATCAGCATTTTCTCGAATCATTTATTCAGTCTACCTGTATTATAAAGTGAGCGATGATCTTATACGAACCATGAAAGTTAGAGCTTTGAATTCCGCTCCATTTGTTTTGATTATGGCAGTCAAGTAGTACTCGTAGCTGTCACTCTCACAGTCAAACATGTACCGCACAATCGAATCCACAAACCTTAATTTGGGTACTCAATTACATTATTGAATTAAATTGTTTAAATCACATAACAGACTATATAAATAAACACTGCACACAAACAAACAAAAATCGCATAAATTGAAACTGATCAGTAAATCATCACTATTATTTTGTAAATGATTGAATTGAGAGTTAATTTTGGCAAACCACTAACCTGCAAACACTTATTAATTTATCCAATTCACGACAAGAACACTGATAAAGATTAGCACAAGATAATTGACTTTGATTCATTAAATCTCCTAACAACTGCATATAATTAATAGAATTCGTTTGTGAATCATCAATACTAAATATCTTTTTGCATATATTATAAAATTTAAAAACCCGTTCAGCTTCAGAGTATACATGTTCTGCACGATCTCTTAAATAGAAATGGTTCACTAAATTTAAATGTAAACAAAAGTAATGATTGAGATATTACAAAAAGATAAACTATTCTTTTAGAAAAACTCTTTCAATTTAACACCAAGAAAAAAATGTACTAAAATATCATGATACAATTAAGTAGAACTTTATAACTAAGTAAAGGTTTGCATACTCTCCTTAGAGTAACACCTAATTTGCTAAACCGAAGCATGAAAAATGAGGTTGGAAGTTGAGGCTCAGAGGTTGCTCTGATAACAAAGACATTGCTTTTTTCATTTGATGACCATTATTCTAGTTCAACGAAAGAAGCTTGTAAGTGATTTGTTTGGTTAATTAACAGAGAATGACTGTGTTAATGAATGGGTATGAGTTGTAAAACCGGATGCGGCATATAATGGATATAGGGCTTTTATGATGAGTGAAACAAATATAGAAATTGGATCCAATTTATTTATGAATAACTCAGCTATTTTAAATGTAGTGCATCGTAAAATCATATAAATCATATTAACATAATGGTCAGACGGTATGTAAATTTCATTCATATGATAAAAAAAAACAAATAAACATAAGTAGATGATTTCACACAAGTTTGCGACTCTATCATGGTGATAGAAAATTTTAGAGATAATTTTCATCAATAAATGACTTCCGCTAGAGAATAGTTGATATAGTTTCTTCGTTTTAGATTGAAAATGCTTGACGATGTAGACCAACGAAACCACATGAGATCAAACCCAGGACCTCCACATTTCGAAGAGAGCGCTATGACACTGATTCCCACAGTATGTATTCAAAGGTCTATTTGTGATGATGACCACCGCAAAAATTTTCACAACTCTTCCTTCATAAAACCATGTAATTTGTTTAATAATTCTTATGATTATTGTTTCAAATGATAGCACCAATCACAAACAAATCAACCACAAGTTTTACCGCTGTACCATTAGTTTAAATTTACTGCAAAAACGTTAAACTGTACACCCACTAATGATTATCTGATACTAAAAAGATTGAAAATTAAAATGTATTTTAGTTTATCGAAAAAGAAAAACTTCTTGTACAAGAAACATACTTGTTTTAGTATTTTCCGTTAAGCATCCTTCAATAATTGGACTAGTCAAACCTAAATTACAGAGATTTTGTAGACTAGTAATACCGCTTGGTAGATATCTAGTTACAATTGATAATCCATCCTTTTGAATGCGTATCATTTCATCAGGTGAAACTGCTTTCCATAACTTTTGTGCATCGCTGAGACATAAGGGTGCAATGGATGAATATCTAGAAGGTTCAGTTATATGCGGGCTATTTCGAGCTAATATCTAGAAAACAGAGCAGTTTATTTTGAAATATTTAAGGATAATGAAGTTAACTGTTTTTAATCATGACATAATTCGAATAACTAAAGGAATTAGCCTAAAACATGTCTTTATTTATCTTTAAATAACGATTTGCGAAGAGTCATATAACCTGGTGTTAAAATGAATAAGATTGAAGACGTTTATAGAATATATATATATATATATATATATATATATATATATATATATATATATATAAACGTGACAACATACTCTCTGATCGATAGTTTCAACATGAACCTATTGATAAAATGTTCATTTCTTTGTATAGATATGTAATTTTCTATTGGACACAACCAACTAAAATAGTTGAAATAAATTGTCACGCTTTCCGAGGAAATATAGCCGATTACAGATTAGTTAGGAGTATCGCCGTAGAAAAAAATGTTGTAACCCCAAGTGACATTTCGATGTATAAAGTTTATCAGACAATCTCTAATGTATCATCGTAAAAAATAAAACAATTTATATAAATAAAACATTAGGACTGTCATAACATTGAAAGTATTATTAGCATGAATCTAAGCCTCACAATATAGACAGAGATGGATGGTGGCTAGCAGTGGAACTAAGAACGTACGTTTTATCCTATGTGGGACTTGCCAGTTGAATGTACCTGTATCCCAGAGTTGATGTTCACTTAGGGACTAGAAGTGGATAAGTGGATAGTGCAATGGTGTTTTAGGCGAACGGCACTGAGTTCGAGTTCAAGAGTGAACATCAACTCTGGGATGCAGGTACATCCAGCTAACGAGGCCCGAATAGAACGAAAAGCATATCCTGGATTACACCATTAACCATCATCTATCTCTGTTTATAATGGTTGTGACTTAAGGTGATATCGAGGAAATCCACCCAAAATGCACATATACTAATAAGAGAATGATCTATCGGAGCCCTAAACATTAATGGGAAGATTCAAACAACCAATAAAAAGACGAACTTACAATATACTATTTAGAATAATAGTGATGATAATGAGTTTGTTATTCTGTGTAATACATGTACGACAGTTTTTGTTTTTTCAATAATTTACATCTATGATTGCTCTTCGAAAAATATTCAATACTCGATAGCGTTGAATCACAGAAAATAACCTACTTATCCTCTATTTATAACCGTTTGACACCGGATACTTAATGTATGGAAATAGATGATATTTTGTGCACATGGACTAGTTTCGTAAGCGCAAAGAAACTAACTCCACCATAGATAAGTGAGTAAACCGAATTTCGGGGTTATTTAACATTTCTAATAAACCTATGCACTTCACAATTATGTACACATACCCGTACAAATATAACCGGTAAAGAAAATAGAACTGAAATTATAACTACGGTGATCCCTAGTACTGTTTAGGTCTAAAAGGAACATTGCAGAAAAAACTACAGGGAATCTTTCTGTTTTCTTTACTTAGATTTTTTCTTCTTACGTAAAAGTCATTCAGGTAATTTAAATTTTATGAAATGCACAATATAATCTATGTGTTGTTTTTACAATTTTAGACTAAGTAAATCAAGAAACGGTGCCATTCATCTTTTTTTTCGGTTTTTCTACAAGAAAGGTAAAGAAGAAAACAGATGTGCTCCAGTTATCTCATGCAGTTACCAGTGCTACTACTAATTCTACCACAACTACTACTATTAGTAGTATTAGTAGTAGTGCACTACTAAAATGACCAGATGTATGTCCGGAAAATAAGAACAGAAGTTATCTGTTATTAAATTCAGAAAAAACACATAAACTTATATATATCAGAAGGTGTTTTGTGGATATTATAGTAATTTTAATAGTTGAGATCATGAATCAATTGAAGTTAGACCACCATGGGAAACCTGGAAGCACTGGACGGCCGTTTCGTCCTGTTATGGGACTCCTCAGCAGTGCGCATTCACGATCCCGCCTCACGAGATTCGAACCCAGGACCTATCAGTTTCGCACGCGAGCGCTTAACCTCTAGACAACTGGACAGACATCCAACGGTGTTTAATGTCTAACTTCAATCAATCGTCGAAATTGAGCAACCGTACACCATTGTCTTCAGTGGATTGATATCTCACAACAGACCTAGTTGAACTCCACTGGTCACTGCTCCTCACTAGAACTCCAGGAAATATCTCTTGAAGCCAGACAGTAGTGAGCATATGATTATTATCAGAAGAGGTTTTGTGGATATTATAGTAATTTTGATAGTTGAGGTCATGAATCAAGCTTTCCATGGTCGTCTAGCTTCAATTGATTCATGATCTCAACTACTAAAATTATATATATATATATGGTAATTGTGTACAAATTCAATCATAAATTAATTACTTCTGACGAACAATAAAGATAGATTATGTTACGAATACATGGTATTAAAATTAACAGATAATTTATTTGCATTTATAAAAGTATCCTTGTTCATTTTGAAAGATAAAGACGATACCTAATCTCAGAAAATAATAATAATTAACTCCAAAGTACCAAGAAATTGTAACTAAGATGATTATCAGTCTACTATCTATATATCTGTTTATATGAAATATAAATCCTATGGTATAGGATGGATTATAAAAGTCGATCTCTACCATAAAAATAACAGATTTACAAGTACATATTGACTGTCACCCATTCACTATCATTGTGGAGGCAAGTGAGGGAGTTTAATGAATATAAACGCCTACCTATTTCCGTATTATTATTGGTGAATCTTGAATTTGTCTTACATTTTAGGTATCCCTATCTATCATGAGTGTTTTATCTGACAGCTGACAGGATTGTTTGTCAGCTATACATCCCGTTAGATGGCTGAATTTCTATGTTATTCATAGATTACTCAAATACGGTTGGATGTATATTTCGATCCTTGTAATTTTATTACTAGGTGATATGAAATTAATTTCAAAATATATAAGACGATGTTACTTTTGCCTAGCGATTCTTTAAAACTAACTACAATTCTAACAGAACTTTAGTCTACCATTAATCTATGTGACTAGAGATAAATACGTAAAATATGTGTCACCCAAAATGCCCTACCACATCAAGATTAGATAAAGTCGATAAGATGAATAATAAAAGGGTCTAAATCATAGTACTATCAGTGATAGTAAGGAAGACCGAACATTAAAGAATGGAATTCGAAAAGAAGGGGATAGATTAGTAGAATAAAAACTAGATAATACTAAGTGGAAGGTAAAGGACTGATGCCATGATATATAAAATGTGATGTACTCACCTAACACAATACAACTGAAAGATGAAGTACAAAGTTTTGCGTGAGCCTTCGAGCCATACGATTTAGGCGAAGGCTATTAATACCACTTAATCATACAGATCAAACATATGGCAGGATTCTAACATGCAAACAAACGATTAAAAACTAAGTGCACTAATCAATAAACCATAGTACGAATTAAATTTAATGTTCACTATAGGTTGTGTGCACTAATTGTTGGGATTTGGATAGAAGTACATTGCAACTTAAAAATGTTTAAAGCTTCATACACATAAGCCAAAAAAACGTTTTTCAAGTATTAAATGATTGAACAACATCACAACTGTAAGCTTACTTTAGCCGCTAATCGACATTCTGCCACACGTTCGTTATAATATGATGTAGCAGCTTTCCGAGCGTGTACACCCGAATGAGCTATCACAAAAACCATGTCAGATGGTAATTGTATAGGACTGACTGTGACAAATGGTTTGGTAAACTCAATCATTAGAGCCTACAAAAAAATAGTATAAGAAGAAAAAAATTAAGCAAGGCATTAAGGAATAAACAAAAGAGTTTTATTTTACTTTGTTTTGATATTATTCAATAAATAGGTGAATAAGAAATGGTCTTACATTATTTTCAACTGCTAGAACACTCGCAGCTTGATCCATCCCACCACCTTGCATACCAATATATTGCTCACATTTCGCACATAAACTTGCTAATTCATGCTAGAGAGGAAAATCGAAATTAGAGAAAACGTTGAAGATATAACTACAACGAAATTACTAAGCATTGAAATAAACAAATAATTTAATAAAGAACAAGTCTAATTGCAAAATTATTTATATAACAAATTATTTATTATTATTTATTTATTTATTCACATATATATTGGTACAAAGTGCACCGGATACATATGCGCCACACAAAATAATGAGAATGGGAGGAGAAGGAAGAAGATGTCTATATATAAAAGAAGGAAAAAAAGAAAAGGAGAAGAGTAATGATGGGGGGAACTGAAATGTACAACCAGAAGATTCTTTCAGTTAGGGAAGTTATAGCCACTCTTTATGAAGAAAGTAAAAGAAGGTTACAGCAGGCACGCCACTGGCTTCTATTCTGAGCCATATTTGATAACGTCTCTAGCCACTGTGTTGCATCATCTCTCGGACCCCAGCCAGGGAGTCGTGAAGGACCAACAGAAGATATCCCTTTTCAGCTTTCTTTCATACCACGACACCATGTAATACACTGACCACCTCTCCGCTTTCTCCAATCAGTCCCAGGGTCGGCAAATAATGCACGACGTGGAAGTCTCTGGGACGACATTCGTAAAACATGTCCAAGCCACCGAAGTCGGTGTTTCAAGATGGTGACACCAATTGAATTATCGTCTCTGCGCCCGAACACACGATGCCGAACCTCTGCATTACTAACATGGTGTTGCCACTGGATGTCAGCAATCCTTCGGAGACAACGATGATCAAACACAGAGAGACGTCTAACATCCTCAACTCGAAGAGACCAGGTTTCACAAACATAGAGCAAAACTGCTCTCACCGACGCATTGTAGATCCGACCTTTTACAGCCAGACTAACATCACGAAGGCGCCAAAGATGGCCCAGATTGGCATAAGTCGCTCTGGCTTTCATTATATGTGCATCAATCTCATCACTCACGTCACCACCAGCACTTATGTAGCTACCTAGATACACGAACTTCTCAACTACCTCAATCTGCTCACTATCCAGGGTGAGTGCAGGATGAGAATCCTGTCAGTCTTGTAGGAGTACTTTGCACTTGGAGGGTGCAAAGCACATACCGTACCTGCGGACACTGATTGCCAACTGATTAAGTGCTGATTGCATGCCTTGGGCATTATCGCACAGTAAGACAATATCATCCGCATACTCAAGGTCGAGAAGTAGTTCTCCAGGCAGCAGATCCACACCGCCATTACTTACATCCATCAGAGCTGTTTCCAAGATGTCGTCGATGGCAAAGTTGAAGAGGAATGGTGAGATCGGGCAACCCTGCCTAACCCCACTGCTCGAATGGAACAAGGGAGAAAGGTGGTTGTATGCCCTCACTCTGCCTGAGGTGTTCGTATACAGAGCCTTTAAGATGTTAATAAACTTCTCAGGCACACCCTTCTTCAATAGACAATCCCAGAGAACAGTCCTGTCCAACGAATCGAAGGCCGCCCTGATATCAAGAAACACTACGATTGTTGGCCTGCGATAAGTATGACGGTGTTCTAACATTTGGCGGAGGGTGAAGATGTGATCAATGCATTCTCAACCAGAACGGAAACCAGCCTGTTCCTCGCGAGTCAATTGTTCTCGGGTTTTAAACAACCTACGAAGAATGGCAGAAGCCAATAGTTTAGACGCAATCGGAAGTAGATTTATCCCACGATAGTTATTACAGGAACAACGTGAACCCTTTCTTAAAGATAGAGACGACTATCGACTCATTCCATGATGTTGGAACACTTTCTTGCTCCCAAACCTTTCCAAACAACACAGTCAATTCCTTAGTCAGAATGTCACCAACATCTTTAAAAAGAGCCGGAGGTAAGTCATCTGGGCCCGGTGATTTGTAACGTTTCAAGAGTTGGAGTTCCTTGCGGACTTCCGCCTCGTTTGGTGGATCAGTCGTCACCGGTCATGGGGGGCAGGACAAACTGGTTGATGTTGCCGGAGCAGCAGGCCAGTTGAACTGCCCTTCGAAAAATTCCGCTCATCGTCCAGGACGTCGAGAGATGTTAGTGATTGGCATCCCATCATCCTCGTAGATTGTTTCACTCACACCAGACTCCTTGCTGCCAGTGGCTCGGATGAGTTGGAAAAGCTTCCGGCAGTTACCAGATGCAGCTGCTGCTTCCATCTCATTAGCACGCTCCGACCACCAGGCTTCTAGGTACTTACGCAAGCTTTGCCCGATTTCATTACGTAACAGCCTTCGTTTGTGGTCAAACTCACGGTCACACGGAGTAGACCGACGGGCTTCCATCAGTTGTAAGGAGCCAGAAGAAACCCAGTGCTTGTAAGCGGGACGTTTCGCGAAGCCGCAAGCCGCTTTACTCGCCATTTTCATGGCGTCATGAAGTCGCAACCAATGCTCATCTATACTTTTCGGTGGTGTGGTAGCTAGCTCCGCTCGATACTTACTTACAACAGATGTTGCAGCCAGTTTACTAACATCGATCCGTTGGTGGTGGTCAATCCTTCGGCCACTGAAAAGTAAGGTGAGATTGGCGCAGACCAGGGCATGATCAGACTCCAGATAGGTACTCCAAAAGGAGCGGCAGTCTTGTACACAACCACGCCAGCGGTAGCTGATCGCGATGTGATCAATCTGAGTCCAGGCTTGGGATGCAGAGGGAGGACGCCAGGTGGCACACCGGCGATGACTGTGCCGGAAGTTAGTGCTAGTCAGAAACAGGTTGTGGTCTGTGAACAGTTGCAGCAAACGGTCCCCGTCATCTGTCCTGCGACCAACAAGTCCCCATCGGCCACCTAAACGACTCTCTTCTGTGCCTAGACGCCCGACCTGAGTATTCAAGTCTCCGGCTAATACTACAATATCTGTCGAACGCCCTTTCAGGAGAAGAACTGTTAACTGATGGTAAAACTCATCCTTGATTGCATCCGGGCTGCAATCTGTCGGGGCATAGGCGGAGATGACGAAAAGACACCGCTTCTCACGCCGGTTTCTTCTCACTATGATGGAACTTTCTAATCTAACAGCACATAACCGACTGTTAATGGGGATCCAATCGGTTAGTGCTGCCTCAGCTCTAGCGCTTAGTGCGACACCAACGCCAGCAAGACCAGACGAGGATGTCACAGGGTCTCCGGATTAGCGCACGTGAAACAAGCTTTTCGAAGCGACACATGGAGAATGAATTTGTAGTACTTCACTAGAGTCTTGAATACGGGTCTCGGATAGACAGCAAATATCAAGACTTTCTAAAGACATAGCCAGCCCCATCTGTTGTCCGATCTGCATTAGCGTGCGAACGTTGAAGGAAGCCAGTTTGAACGGCGTACGTGGTTTCAGAAAAACTGTTTCAGTATTCATATTCGGTGGAAGCATTCACTTTCGACCAGACAGTGATTGGAGATCGTTTAGATAGGACAGAGTTTCCACCATGGGCGAGCTACTGCATAAGTTGGAAAGGAAGGATACACAATTTGGGAATAAATGGAGTGAAAAAGCGACGTAGTAAATAATAGTAATAATAATAATAATAATAATAATAATAATAATAATGGTAATGGTAATAATAATAATAGTGTAAATAGTCTTGCTTCTAATATGAGCGAGAATAATATCGTCAATAGAATTCATCATTTCATTTATTTGTGTGTGGGCTGTGATACCACAAGGGTGCCCAAACCGAAGCAGGTGGTTTTCATAGGGGGCCACACAGGGAGCCTTTGATCTAAAGGTCTGATCCACAAGGCAGTGGAACATCGTGAGGAGATGCAGTCCCATGGTAGCCGGTGACCAACAGCAGGTTCATTCGCCATTCGTTCCTTCAGGATACTGGAGTCCAGGTGCACCATTGGTTTGGAATCAGGGTTTTCCAACTCCCCTAGGTGGACTTTCCGTGTCCACCAACCCGGTAATAGCGCCGGACATTTGCTTTTCGTCCTCTCAATTTCGTATACAACACCCCCGCCACTAGAAGGCAGTGTGTAGGACTTCCCTGACATAACAAATGAATATTAGTGAAAGATACACTGAAAAGTAGGGCGGCAATGAGCTACTTTTTTAATTGCAGTATAAGGTAGATAAACGCTCCTGCTGACTATAAATATGAAAGACATGCTGTCATTTAACCGCCACATCGGAATATTTCAGTTTACATTTTTCACCAAACTTCAATTGGTCCGGATTATGGTGTGAACTTTCCGGGAAGTCAAAAGACATTATGACTTAAAATAATAATGATAAGATAATTACCGAATGTTTCATGAATTTTCGAATTGTACTTTAAACGTTTTGCCGTCAGAGTATATGACAATCGCTAAAAAATAAGGTAACGTGAAGCACGCCCAAACTGCTTGACTGTTTGAACAATATCTTGATCGACCATGAAAGACATTAGAATGTGATTGATTATGAATTACTCATCATTTTATCTCCTCTAAAGACAAATTCTAATAAGTCATGAAGCAAAAGTGCGAATGCAAAAACGATAAAACATGGTGTTCACCTAACGGATAGAAATATGATTCATAAATGGGTAGTATTCACATAAAGTAACAAGGAACAAAAGAGTTAAGAGAGAACTAATCATTAGAATAAACAAGGAAATATACTACTCAGTATTATGTTAATAAAACAAATTTACAACACCTAAATTAAATACAAATATAGTGCGATAAAGATATTATGTAAGAGGAAGTGAATTCAAACATCAACAACTGAAAAGAAATGACTGTTAAATATATGTGGAAAAGGAATTGTTCAGAAGAACTTTAATTCAATACACTACATCTGAGAGGATAAATTTTCTGATATCTTTACATCTGTTTATCCCATTGATTTCTTACACCCGATATCCCTCGTGGAGGAGCATACACCATCCACCAGGATTTCCTGCCGAACTCTCTCCTGAGCGATCCTTTCCAGCTGTTTCCTACTGCAACTCATTAATTTTATGTATCCCTACACTTCCATTTTTCCGATTCCCTTTAGGATTCGAAGTTATTGGTTGCCTCATGATGCAGTTCGACGATTTCCACGACGTATGTCCTATTCACCTCCAGAGTCTTTTCCTAATTTCCTCTTCAGTTGGAAGCTGGTTTGTCCTCTGTTACAGTAGGTTAATGCTGATGTTAATCAGACCAACGGATATTGAGTATTTGCATAGACAACTATTTACAAATACGTGTACCTTTCTGATTATTATTATTATTATTATTATTATTATTAATGGCTTTATTCAATATTATAATCTGTCACAATATATAATTCTCAGCACGATGATGGATCTGGTAATTTTCCAAGTTTCAGCTACGTACAATATAACTAACTGTCTTGACGTACGTACTGGGAATTCTAACTTTGGTGTTGTTTGACAGTTGTTTTGAGTTCCATGTGTTCTTCGGTCATAGGAATGCTCCGCTTGCTTTGCCAATCCATGTCTTCATATCTGCATCATATCCCCTTTGTTTATCAATAACGCTACCAAGTATGTTAAAAGCTTCCCCATCTTCCAGAGTTTATACATCAAGTGAGATTGGGTTGGTATTCTCTGTGTTGTGTTTGAGGATCTTGCTTTCTTCCTTGTGTATGTTGAGGCCTACTGATGCAAAGACTGCTGCTAAACTGGCTGTCTTCACCTGCAATTGTTGCTGTGTACGGTATAGAAGATCTAAGTGATCCACGAAGTCCAGATTGTTTAGTTGCGTCCGGGGATTCTGTGCTTTCCCTCAGATGTAGAGGTCTTCATAATCCAGTCAACCACCAGAAGAAAGAGAAAAGGCGAGCGCAAGCAGCCTTGTCTGACATCGATCTTCACTTGCAATGAATCTGTGAGTTGTCCTTCATGGATCACTTTGTAGTGTAGTCCGTCGTAAGAATTCCGTATAGTGGTGACAATCTTGTCAAGTACACCATAATGTCAAAGAGGGTTGCATAGCGTTCTCCTATCAGTGCTGTCAAACACTTTCTCATAATTAGGGAAGTTGGTTTATGGTGGCGAGTTCCGTCCAAGTGATTGTTCAACAATGATCAGTAGTATCGCGACTTAGTCGGTAAACGGTCGATTCTTACGAATCCAAACTGTTGGTTTCGAAGTAGGTGATTTATTGAGTCTTTTATCCGGTTCAGCAACACTCTGTTGAAAACTTTTCCTCGTTCTGATAGTAGTGTGATGCCTCTGTAGTTCTCACATTTGCTCAGATCAACTTTTTTGGTATCTTGGTGAGGTGTCCTTCTCTCCAGTCTGTCAGTGGCACTTGTTCTTCCTCCTAAATCTTCCTCAATAGAGTGTGAAACATGTTTGCAGTCAATTCTATGTCTGACTTCTGTGCTTCGGCTTGTATGTTGTCGGATACTACTGCTTTATCACTCTTGATTTGTTTGATGGCCATCCTGATTTATTCTATCGTTGGTGGAGTGACATCTGTAGGAAGGTCTGTAGTCGCTACTCCGATGTTTGATGGATTCAATAGAGCTGGTCTGTTCAGGAGTTCCTCGAAGTGTTCCACCCATCTATTCCTCTGTTCTTGAATCTCAGCGATTGGCTTTCCTTCTTTTTTCCTGAATGGTCTCTCTGATTTACTTTATTCCCCTGACAGTTTCTTCGTTGCGCCATATAGTTGTTTCATATTTCCATGTAGCTTTCTCCGCTGTCGTTTCTACGTCTTCCACATATTTCTTCTCGTCAGCTCTAATGCTTCTCTTCAATTGATTGTTTGTTTCTGCGTATTCAGCCTTTGCCTCGACTTTCACCGTTCTTGATCGGATATTGTTAATTTCTGTCTTCTTGTTCTCCCTTTCTTGAATCTTGTTCACGGTTTACATAGAGATCCATTTCTTACCATGATGTTTCTTGCGGATCAGAACCTCCTGACACGTTAAACTTGGTGCTTTTTTGATCTCTTTCCAGTTGTCCTCCATAGTGGTCTCTTTCCTTTCAGTAGATCCGGTAAGGCTTATAACCTGTTGTTGAGAGTTATCTTGAATTGGTTGAGTTTGTCAGTATCTCGAAGGGAAGCTGTATTAAACCTTTGTAATGCTGTCTCCCCCGTTGTCTATTGTTTCTTCAGCTCCAGTTTCACTTTGACAACCACCAGGTGGTCATCTGAAGCTATGTCAGCTTCCCTCTTGATTCTCATTTCTTTCACTGACCTTCCTAAATTTTAGTGATGCAAATATAATCGACTTAATCCCCTGTAGTGTGATTTGGTGGGACCCATATAGTTTTTTGTACACATTTTTAGGGGAATATAGCGGTCTCTACAACCGTTTCGTTGAATGCACACAGATTTGCAAATCTCTCGTTATCCTCGTTCCTTTGCCCCAGTCCATGTTGCAGCATGATATCTTCATATCCGGTGTTGTCCATTCCAACTTTGGCATTTAGGTCTCCCATTACGATGGTCAAGTTCTTTCCTGGGCACTTCTCTACGTCGACTGCAACCTCGCATAAAACTTGTCATGATCGTCTTCATGGCTACGATTGGTGGATGCATAACACTGGATAACATTCACTGTAATCCCTTCCTTCTTTGCCTTGAAGGATGTTTAGATGATCTTTGATCCGTGAGATTCTCATCCTCTAAGTGCGTCACTTGCTTCTTTGGACAGCATCAGTGCAACTCCCCGTGTGTGAGAAGCATTTTCTTCTTCATGAACAGAGTATATCAGCATGTCTCTCGAAGCTAGTCTTTTCTGTCCAGCTTGGGTTCAATGAGTTTCACTTAATCTGAGGACCACCAAATTGTATTTCCTCATTTCCGCAGCTATTGAACTGATCCTCTCATTCTACCACGTTGTCAGGACATTTCACGTATCTGCATAAGTCGTTTTCGGAAACAGGATCGGCCTCGTGATTTTCGAAGAATCTTGGCTATTAACATGAGACGTCATAATTCTTCTAAATGAAGATTTTTCAAATCCCAAAGAAATTAAATGGTTTCAGTTGTTTTTCCTGGTTAGAGCTTTTTTAGCAAGGTTGTTTTCTTCAGGATAGGGGTGCTGATCCCATGTCCAACTCTCCTCCTTTATACGGGCTTCAGACCAAGAGTAAGCCCAGGAAGGCTACAGGCAGAGTTTTATTATATCGAACAAATTTATTGTTATCACTCCCATTACATATGTAAAAAGCAGTAGACTCCAGTTCTTTTAGGGAAAAAGGAAAGTAATTGTAGACATAATATTTAAGATGAAAGCACAAAAGAACTACTTTGTTCTCTTTATTTATAGCTTTTCTACTTTTCACTTACTCTACTTATTTGTAAACCAGATATTCGCATAATTGCTATGGCAGAAGCAACTACGAAAGCGCTACTGCTTGAAAGACCAGCAGCCGGCCATAAACCACCGTATTCAACACCACCAACTAGAATATTTATACTAGGAGGAGTCCAATCCTATTTAAAATAAACAATAAATCAGACTTTCAATTCACAATTCAAAAATTTATTCAGTATGTAAGATCAAATCAACAATAACTATGATAAAATTCACTTTATTCACTAACCAATTAACTAGACAGCACAATAGCTGATGTATAAAAACCGCATAAACGTATTGTCAATAACTCGCTTTATTTGAATTTTCGATAAAACTACCATGTCATAACTACACTCTAATCATTTAGGCAATAACATTTCAGTATTTTGTTCCTTTTTACCTTACATTGAAATCTAAAAAAATTTACTTAGATTATATTAATCTAAAAAAATGATACCAATCAGACCTCAAAAAACCACTTGGTTCAAGATAAGCACGTTATGAACAATGTGAAAAAAAACACTTGAAATTAGATGGCCTTCATTTTGTATTGACCCAAGTGCTTAACTTGGTCTAAGTGTTACAAACTCACCATGCATAGCAAGAACAAGAGCGTTTTTTCTAAATGTGATGATTTAACGCAGAGGTCAGTGAAGGATTTGCACGTACAGTGAACATTAATAGTCGACAAAAATGAACGGAAATAAGTTACTATAATGCCACCTAACACAATCAAAAATCACGCACCATACATCGAAATAGATATCCTTTTAATATAAACATCAGTATAAAAATTTTGAAACGTTTAGAGTCGTCAAGTTACACCACAACAGAATGTCCTTTGTGTGAATAAACAGCAGGTGAGTAAAATTAAGAGAAAATTTAGTTTTTAAGAATATTTAAACAGTGGCAGTAAAATTCAAATATTATCATAACCTCAGTGTCTTAAACTTTAAGAGTTAGTCTGCCGATCTAATATACTAACTTAGAATAATTAATCACACAAATGTCTGTAAGGATATGATCGGAATATCTACTACGACCACTATTATTGAATTTCTTATCAGATGATCAGTTTACATCCATACTATATACTTGAGCAGCAAAGTATTATCACAAGCCCTCACACGAGAGATTTGACTTTTAGAGGCCTAGATAAGCTTGTTATGGATACTGATGACCTAAAATTTTGAAACAAAGATGACAAGAGATGTGCTGTCATAAGAAAAAGACAAACGGATATATGAACGTACCAAATTCGACTTGTCTACATAGTCTTTTATTCCTCGATATGCGCACTGAAAATAATGAAACCATTCAGGTGAGTCAGGCGACCCTTCACAACCAAATGTAATGGCTTCTGTAATCGAAATCTTAACAGGCCTATATTGGGTACAAGGATTGAGGAATAGAACATTTTAACTGTAATTTTAAACTTAGTCTGAGAAATAATTTGTTCACGTGTTCTAATATAAACACCATCAGTCTTTAGTGTGCATATAACAGTGGGTTTACGAAGAAATGGGAGTTTAAGAACGGGTGTAGATAATTCACTGTAATATAAGCCCAAACATAGTTTTGAAAGAAAGGAACATTGACAACTGGTAGGCAAACAGACATATAAACGCTCAACCCAAGAGAATAACGGATCGATCCAGATATATACATTTCATACGTACAAACTCAGTGAAAATTAACATACTGAAGACATAATGGAAAACAAGAGCAATAAGACGAAATGGGAAAACTGTGAAGAATAAGTTAAAATAAATGGGAAGTGTTATATCCGCACGAAGAATAAGTAAATAGTAACCACTAGGATCCATTTATGAACTGTTATTATTATTACGATTGTTATTATTATTGTATAACTATTGAGTAACCATGTCTTATGTATATACCTATTCCTTTTATTACAAGCTTCCATATGACTATTATTATACGATTTACTATTATTAAGTTATTCCCAATTTGTTAGTTACAGTGGAGATTTGTAGCTCAGGTGGATGAATTTTATCGGGTTTTATTCTCTGGGCTGGATGGCTTGGTCGTGGAGCTTTCATCATTATTCTAAACAACATAATCAGCACAAACTTCAGGTGAAAAAGAAGTATCCGAATTTCTCCACATATGATTCACAGCTTGTCCTGTAGACCTCGATTTGATTGGTCATTGTTGACCCTAAACCTGTCATTTTTTACTTCTTTATTTTGATTTTACCGCCCATTGATTTTATTCCGATATACTTGAGTCTCCAGTTTTACTGTGTTGGTTCTGGTGATTAATACATCCAGTTCTAGTAACAAGAGTCAAACAACAAACTACCATTGTTGGTTGTACTCATCACCAGGGTGTACTCACATAGGAAAACGGTAGACTCAAGCCGACTCGCACAGATCGAATTCTCAATTACAGTAGCAACAACCCAAAGGCCCACAAAATCAACTGCGTACAAACTTTGTTCAAGAGGGCGAGTAAACACTTGCAGAGAAGAAAAATTAGAGAAATATCTAAAGGCAATCTTCCAAAAGAACGGATAAACAATCAATTTTATCAAAAAGTACCAACGAAATGCATCAGCAGAAACAACATCAATCATAGAAAACAACAAACGGATCGTAAATGGCATATCAGAAATTACAGCGAGATTGTTGAAGCTTTTTAGAATAGGTGTAGCACGTAAACCAACAAAATCATTTCAATCAATCGTATACAAACTAAAGGACAAAAGATGGACAATCGAACATCATCTACAAAACAAATTGTTTCAACTGCTAAAAACACTACATCGGACAAAGAAGATGCCCGCTTCATCTTCGCCTGCATGAACATCAATTAGCGGTCAAACACCATGACATATCTTCGCTTATATCAATGCATGTGGACAACTATGGATACACATTCGACTGGGAAAATGTTGAGATCTTGGATAAAAGCGATTCTAAAAACACCAGAGAGTTTTTAGAAGCTTGACACTCAGGCCAATCAGCAATCGACAAACATATTGAAATCGATCCAACTTATCAAGCAAACAGAAAAATTATGGACAAGTATAGTACCACAAATAATTGTCAGTTGAATGTTTCGTTTCATTTCCTTCCTTTATATATAGACATCTTCTTCCTTCTCCTCCCATTCTCATTGTTTTGTGTGGCGCATATGTATCCGGTGCCCTTTGTACCAATATATATGTGATTATATAAGTAAATAAATAAATAAACCACAAATAAAATCAATGGGCGGTAAAATCAAAATAAAGAGAATAAAACCCCATAAAAATCATCCACATGAGCTACAAATATTCTTCAGCATCTCAATAAGTCAGTGTTTTTATTGGCGGTCGTATCACGTGAGAATTGACAATTCATAACAACAAAACAGGAATTAAAAGTACTGAGTATTAGAACTAGCTAGAGACAAGGGTCTCTTGTTAAACACGAAAAACTACTAGGTAAATACATCCTTCAATACCTTACGACATCCGACAACTGTTTTACTAGAGAACAAAAACATTCCGTTGGGTAGTTCTTTCATTTATAATATCAATTTGTTAGAAGTATCTTGTTGATTATTCGGTCTCATAAACACAATTGTATGATTATTTGTTATGCACTGAACTCATCTTATTCATCATACTAACAATCTCAAAACATACTTCACATAGTGCACTCGAACACTCATCCACTACAATAATATTAAATAATTTTATACACTAGCATCTGTTACTTATAACCTATTAGTAGTTGGGTATCCTAAATAAAACATTTTAGGGCATAACTTCGATAACAAAATGGTTATATATATATATATATATATATATATATATATATATATATATATATATATATATATATATATATATATATATATATATATAATTCCTTGGTCAACATATATATAACGAACGTTCAACGATTAATGGCTATGTACAATGAATAGTCTAACCATCTCACACGATACAGCATCTAAGGTTGAGAGTAAATGGATTTCTTCCTAGTAAACCAAAACAACTTGTAAACTTCAATACTTAATTTTCGAGTACCACAGAGCAGCACAGACGCAGAATTAAAATGATGACTAAACCTACCTGTATTGAATATCTGTGCTTCTAAGAACGATCTTATCCAAATCAGATCCAGATGTTGGACCCACAGAAATATAAACTGCTTGTTCTAACGCCATCGGTAGTACAGGATAACCATTATAATCAATATGTTCACCTGGTTATTAACAGAAATAAAAACAGAGATATAAAAGAAACTTGTTACAAAGTGTCTAAAAACATAATGATCTATAGCATTTAGTAATCGGAAATTTACTCCTTTACTAATATTTTTAAGACTAGAGAAAATAAATACCACAACCATTCAGAGTTGATTTTTTTCTATTATGTTTAAAAAAATTGAAGTGAGATCTCGTTGTGATCAGCCAATGACAAATATCAAGTGTAATCCACGATCACAGTACATATATTTGAGACGTAGCCATGAAAATGATAAAATCAGTATAAAATAGTCAAGAAGTACAAAATGAAGTTGAAAAAGGAGTCTAGAAAAGGACTTGTTTACTACGTAAACTTTAAGGGAAAAACATCACTCCTCCCTGCTTCAAATTCAATGAACTTCTAATAATTACAGAGAATAACACTGAGTTTTTACCGTAATGGTGTGACTAAAATCACTAATCCGACTGAGGTATGTAATTAAGACTAACCTTCTACTCCAGGTTATATAAAGACATTTTTGGGAACATTTGAAGAGTACTGATCATTAACAAATTACACACAGAATAAAAATTCTTTTTGATCAACTTTAGGCTTGTTTTGACTTCCTTATCGCTCATCTTCATTTATTTCAATATTTTAAGTCAACTTCTACAGCTAACCAAATTATATTTTCAGTCATTTGAACGTATGTACAAAAGATATATTTCAGCTGCACTCCTACCACAAAAATACATGTTTACATAAACTTTTTAAAAACCCGTTAACAAAAATTACTAAAAAAAAAAGAAAGCCTGATACTAAAGGTCACAAACACAAAACACACATGAGAGGTATAAATAGTACTTTCAATTGATTATTAATCTTACAATGTACATTCAGTATTGTCACTGGATGTTAGCAAATACAGTTAAACCGCAAAACTTCAATCATGTAACATCAACAAATAGACTCGCCCTTTTCTGACTTATTTATTCCAAGTAATTTGTAGGACAATTATCACACTTGGAAAGGCAGAGATGAATCTCAGTAACACATTAAATCTTCAATACCACAGGACATAATGTATGAACTTTCATCATAACAGATGATTTTTCATACATTAAAGAAAAGTACCTGAAACAAGTCATCAACCCTAATAACTACATGACTATAGACAGTAAGACTTCTTGCAATTTTATCAAAACTGAGATCATTATTATTACTCAATATATTTCTCAGAGTTTTCCACCGTACGCGGAAAAAAATCACACACATTTAACAGTGAGAAACAGAGACGAAAGGTATAGAATATTCACAGATGTAAAGGTCGGGAATTGGAGTTTATTCATATCGGCTTTAACAAACTAAATAACATTGTAGGTCAGGCAACTGGTGGTAGGTGTAAATAAAAAACTTTCAAATTAAACAACCACAGGAGAAAATAACGTTCGAAATTTATTTTACAATAATTATGCCTCATAATGGAACAAACAATTTGAGTACAAAAACACACTCCTGTAATACTAGTTAATGAAACAATGATATCTCGTTGCACTAAGTTTAACTATAATTTCTTAAAACTACAAAAGTTTACTTTAAAAGTGTTCAAATACAATTTATGTGTACAGCTTATTCGAGAAAAAACCAAGATCCCAAAGTTGCCAGACTGAAATCAGAAGATGCTGATTACCAAGAAAGTATTATTTAAAATCATACGTTGCTAAAACCAGACATGAGACCATAAAATAAAATGTAGACAAAGAAATGAATCAAATTTGAATATATGAAAGTCTTATGACCTAACTAAGCCATTAATATCTTAAGAATACCTAACAAAAGCTTAATTAAAATCAAATACTTGGTGTTTACCAATGAGCCTTACTTGAGAAGGGCTTTACAAGAGTTATTATTCGCTACTATGTATACACGCTAACTTTTTTCCTCAAATTCTGCTTTACTGAAACGTATAGATTATCATGTTTATCCAGTTATTTCCTGTGCTATTATTTTCAGAGTGCAAATAGCGCATTATCTCTAAACCAATATTTATGAAGAATAACGCTGAACAAAAAATGCTAAAAGACTCCAAACCACCTTACAGTGAACACTAATGGATTGTTGTCATAGTATATAGTCAACTCTTCATCCAATATAACTAGGTGATTAAAGTGAGCATTCTATCCCTCCTTTTAAACGTACATTATAATACTAAAATTCAAATTGTTAACTTACCAATAAGATTTACTCGACCAGGAGCTCGAACTACAAAACTGCATTTTTCACCAAAAGTGTGATGAAATTCATCAGACAACTTAGTGGCGATATCGGTTGCTTTATATTCAGGGATGAAATCACCATCACTCATTTTCAACCTTTTGAACACATAGAAAGGTAAGATGTTTTTAGTATTACGAAATATAATTTTGAGAAAGCTTTATGGTTGGAATTTAATCACTGTAAAAGATATTCGAACTAATAAGCTGAAGGTTACAACAAACCAAGGGAATCTCAAAACTGGATAACACTACATTATTCAGATCGTTAATGTCATTCATCTTGTTATTTACACATTGATGTCCCAATGTGGAATTACAAATTAGGTCAACGTACATTTATTTCAGGTTGCTCGTTGATAACGAGTAACAAACGTAATCTTTATATCACTAAAAGAATCAATATGATTTATTCAGAACCTGAAAAAAATGGTCATATTTAGGCATCATCAGTTTTGGATGAACCTGTGTACTAGGCTATGAGGCGTTTAAATTGTGCCCTGGTAAGGTCGAGAGTGGGGAGAATCAACTCTCCCTCTCGAAATGCTCTCACATGGCCACGCGAATATATAGCCTCTACCAGGGAAGTCCTACTCACTGCCTTCTCATGGCGTGGGTGTTGTTCACGAAAGTGAGAGGTCGAAAAGCGAATGTCCGGCACTTTGACCGGGTTGGTGGACACGGAAAGTCCACCTAGGGGAGTTGGAAAAACCTGATTCAAAACCAATGGTGCACATAAGCTCCAGTATCCTGAAGGAACAAATGGCGTATGAACCAATCGTTGGTCACCGGCTACTATGGGACTGCATCTCCTTAAGATGCCCCACTGCCTTGTGGACTAGGCCTTTAGGTCAAAGGCTCGGGGTGTGGCCTCCTATGAAAACCACCTGCTTCAGTCTGGGCACCTGGGCAGTATCACAGCCCTCACACAAATCTCATTCGATTTGTGTGGTGCATATCTATCTGGTGCTTCCTTGTACCAATATTTATGTGTTTAAATAAAGAAATAAACACCGTTACCAGAATTTCGGAAATCCGAAGGCTGAACTTTAGACCAACTGGTTGTGATTTGAGTGCCCTAGATCTATTACTTAAGTGAAAAAATGAGGATAATAGCTTCGAAAATTTCCTAAATAAAATTTGTAGAAAACAGCTTCAGAAAGATAGGTAAATACCCATCAAATACCTGATGAGATAAACACCCAAATACCCATATATCGTTTTGAAACTAATATCCCACCAAATAGGTTAGGCTCTCATAAGTTTTTATGGCTTGATGGCGTTAATTTTCATCTTCACTTATTATGATAACACATCTTTCCATACAGGCATCCCGGTTGTATTTATGAGGGGCAAAAACTATACCTGATCATTTATCTGAGTTTATATAACCAATGGTAATTCTCTACTAATAATCCAATAATAGATCGATATATAGTGGAACTATGTACATAGTTTCGGTATACGATTGGAGTACAACTGTTGGAAATTGACAACAAAAGCCCCTTAATATTTTATTATTAATGTACCGGTAGTAATATATGCAGCTGACGGGAGAAAACAGCCGAGTAATGTTCAATTAGGCAATGGATTTTGTTTATACGATTATGAGTTTGGGTCAGTTGTGTACGAAACACTTAGGAATCAGTGACTAGTAGTTTGAGGAACATAAATACACGTGAACTAATTGCCCATGATTCTCAGGATGATGGTAATCACTTCCTTGAAACTGTGAGCAAAATAACTCATAAAGAATCCTCATAATCTGATTTTTGTGACTTTATAATAAAATATTAAAATTCAATTTGTATTTATTGTGGTTTTCTCCTTCTGCATTTTTGTTTAATATTTTCATTACTTTTTTCTAAATGATTTTGTTAGGATATTAAAAACCATGACGTTTGAACAGCTAAACTATTTAGTTAGGTTGGTTCCAACAACCAGTGCAAAAGTATCTTTGTGATCATGAAACGGCAAACTGGACTGCCTAAGTCAAAGTTAAAAATTCATATTACTCAATACAGATCCTATATAGTGAATCAAAACAATTGATAATTTAACCATTAGCTAAATGACCAGTAAGAGTTACACTTACTTCAACACTAAAATATGGTTAACTCGAGTTCTAACGAAATATTTAATCTTACCATATAATTATATCTATAATCGCCACGAATAAAACAATTGAATAGGGATATAGGTATAAGGTAAGAGGTTTATGAAATACTGCAACATATTTCACTTTAGCGTGCATTGTTCAGTAAAGTGTGAGTAGTGATAACACGTTGCTAACGATGTTATAACAATAGTTAACAGATATTAACCTCGCATATATAGAACAAGTAAATCCTGAAATTTTAATAGCCGGAGGAACCTATGGAGTACGCATTTTAACAATGCATAAAAGAGGAGATCTACTATCACTACTTCATCCCATAGGCAGTGTTTTTGTCATTCCAGGAGAGAAGACAGGGAATCGGTGTGACACCACAATCTATAAGGGTTGGCCAAATAATAAAATTCCTGTCTGGCAACCAAAAAAATTGGCTCTTTACCTATGCGTCACCTTGAGAAAACCTAAAATCTCAGCAATAAACCTCATAATTTTAAACCTTTAGTGATTGAAATAGAAAATATGACATCAAAAACATTGTCTTGAAAAGTTCCAGTACAAATGGTAGCATAAATATAGATCTTTCGTCTTATTTAATTTACGTTGCAATAAAATAAAGTTTTGAATCACCCAACGATAAAATTTGTTGTCAGATACATTAACTGTACAACGACTGCAATACAGGACTGTGGTTTTAAGGGAGTATCTTCAGGTGTGAAGCGGTTTGAATGCAGCAGTGAAATAATCCCCAACTCTTGCGATCTTCGTATAGCAAAACCGGAAGACGAAAAATCCAATCAATATAAATTATGAGGAAGAAGTAATGGTTAATTCGGACTCCTAGATACGTTCACGATTGGCAATAAGTATATATGCTCAAAGGGTCACCTACATGATTTATGTAATTTATGTAATTAAAACACAACAGAGTTTATCATGGTGAAATACAGGAATTAATCCGCAAGACAGCTAAGAAGCTAATAAACAACGAAACAATGATGTACATACGACAGTGGAGTTAATCAATAGTTCAATGTACCTATATGTGAACCGGATAACCATCAAATGAACCTAGTTGATCTTAAAACAACCATTGCTATGACATTCAGTCAATAAATTTACTCAAAGATATGATAGTAAAACTGTAGTGTAAACGAATTTATTATAAAATGTACAGTAAAATAATTCAGTAAAATAGCTATTTTTAAAAACTTTTATGTTCCATAACAGAAGTATTAAATGTATATAAAAGTGGTTACTTGCTTTTGGAGAACAGTTTTTTAGTAGGAATTCGTTACTTTTGGAACTAATATGTGATCAGAAATTTTTTTGGGAAAAGTTATCAAGACAAGACCATCTATATCCGCAGCAAGGAAGCCTTTTAGGGTTCTACTTCTTGATAGTGAAGATAAAAATATATTTCAGGAACAACTAGAAAAATAGTTAGGCAGCCCACCGATGCAGCATGGAATGATATCCAAAAAGCTGTGGAAACAGCAGTGATATCTGCTAGTACGGTAAACCATAAGGTTAGGGAGAAACACTGGGTCTCAGCAGCATCTACTTCACTGGTAGATGTTCGAAAACTCATCCCATCTGGCTCTAAACAAAGCGAAGAGCGGAGTCAACTTAAGCTTAGGCCAACACAAAGCCTATGCAATGATTGCGAACAATGGTGGTTAGCGAAAGCAAGAGAGATGGAAAAGGCAGTGGCAATAGGCAACAGCAGACAGCTATTCAGACTTGTTAAGGAAACCGGTATTAGAAACCCAACTGTCAGCGAAACTATCTCGGAAAAAGATGGACATATTGTTCCTTCTCAATCCAGAAGATTGGATCGATGGGGAGAACACTTTAGGGATCAGTTCAAATGGCCTTCAGCCACACTTCGGTTTCCCACAATCCCCAGTCGACCTGAATGGCAAGTTAATGTAAGTCCTCCAACTCACTACGAGGTTGAAAAAGCTATAGGAAATCTGAAGCGATGGAGAGCGGCAGGTCCTGACAGGTTGACCCCTGAGATTTTTAATAATGGTGGTCCGGTACTAGCTGCAAGATTGACTGAGGTCTTAGGTAGAATCTGGGAGCTAGACGTAATTCCATCTGATTGGTCCCAGTCACTGATTGTGCCAGTCTATAAGAAATGACAAAAGTCCTCTTATGACAATCACAGAGGAATCAGTTTGACTAATATAGTGTCCAAAATATTAGCTTCAATAATACTTCGACGCCTAACCAAAGCTCGTGAAGAGCAGACTAGAAAAAACCAAGCTGTTTTTTTTAACCTGGACGTGGTTACATAGACCAGATATTCACTCTAAGTCAGATCCTAGAACATATACACACATTCAGATGCCCCACAATCGTAATATTTCTCGATCTTAAGGCGGCATTCGACTCCGTTGATCGTGAGGTCCTGTGGCAATGTTTATCCCTGAAAGGAGTATCAAAGAAGTACATTAACCTTATAAAGGCTCTCTACTCGAACACAACTGTTCGAGTTAGGGTTTAATGGCAAACTGTCATCAGAATTGATTACCTCAAGTGGTGCTCGTCAGGGTTGTCCACTCTCGCCATTCTTGTTTATCTTTATAGTAGACGTGCTTTTAGAAATAACACTTTCCTCATCCAAATTCAAAGGGGCTGAACTTCTACTAGGAAACTCACTTGTTGACTTGGAATACGCCAATGACAAAGTTCTATTTGGTGAGGACGTCGACAAAATGCAGTCTTTTGATCACTATAAGCAACAACGCAGACATGTTCAGGATGCGATTCTCCCCCTCGAAATGCAAAATGATACTTCAAGATTGGATTGTATCGACACCCGAACTAATGATAGGGAGTGAAGTAGTTGAGTGTGTTGACCGCTTCACTTATCTTGGGAGTCTCATAAGCCCTTGTGGTCTGGTGTGTGACGAAATCTCAACACGGATACAGAAGGCTCGTCTAGATCTTGCGAACTTGCGTCATTTATGGCGTAGGCGAGATATCCGTCTAGCAACCAAAGGACGGGATTACTGTTCAGCAGTTCGTTCCGTCCAGTAAGAGTAGAGGATATTCATAGGCTACTAGTTTTCGATCATAGGTGTTTTCGAAGCATTGCTCGTATATCCTGGGACCATCGAATAAGTAATGCAGTCGTTAGGAAACTGTTACTAGGTAACGCTGGCGAATTGATTGATGAAGTAGTGAAACTTCATCAGTTGAGATGGTTGGGACACGTATTACGTATGCCTAACCACCGACTGCCCCAACGTGCAATGTTTTATGGTGTAGGAGTAGGTTACAAGAAAGCTAGGGGCAGCCAGACCAAAATGTGGTACGAATCCATGAACTTAGTGACAAGTGGACTAAGCCATGTTGGTAGGTGTAGACTACCTCGTTGGGATCCGCGAGATGATAACAACCGATAGTTAGAGACCTTGAATGACATGGCTCAAAATCGTTTCCAACGGCGAACGTGCATTCACTCTTTGTGTTCTCCCAAATTCTAATCTTCTGAATTCTTCATGTCCCTATCTTTTTTCTATTTCCAAATTTATTTCACTGGATTATACTCCTTCAATAACATCTTCAAACCCTAATCTTTCGGATTACTGTTTATACTCTTACTAATTCTACTACAATGGGATTTAAATCGACAACTGTATCTCTGTGGTAATGTGGTATGGCAACTCGAACTGATGTACGTACGTACGAAGTTCTACGTTGTAGCTGACTGACTTTCAGTCAGTATATATATATATATATATATATATATATATATATATATAATGGAATAAACAGGCTAAGAAGCTGGTTTTAGCAGCTGTTTATTTTCTTTTAGGATTCGAGTTTAAGCTAAATAACCGAATAAAAAACCTAAATATGCTACAGGTATTCGGAGTTCGGCAACGGATTTATACGTAATTCTTTTACAATCGAAGTGTACCAACCCAGTTAAAAGCCAGAAATGAAAAGGTTCGAAGATATGTTTGGAGGGCCATCAACATCGAGAAGGGTTTAGTCTAAGCTGGGTAACAGTTTCAAGGGACACGTAGCATGGCGTACCCACTCGTAATCTGGTGCGGATACGTGACCGAGCGCCTTCAGCTAGATATGTCCAGTAAAGCTAATGAGGTTAGCATCAATGTCGAAGACTTACAGAACTATTTATTGTGAGGATTTATTTACCTCCACATAACCACAGGCAAACTGTACATGAATATCTATAAATTTGTAAAGGGTTATTGAAGAGTCCATTAAGGAACCTATAATCTATAAACGAACAAATGAAATTAAGAATGTCAAGTTTGGGATTTTGGTGTGAATCTCATTCATCCATACAATTTAACAGAACATTGACACTAGGATTGAAGCCACTTAGTGAAGAAAACCCTTATATTAATTCACAACCCTAAATTCTAGCTCCAAGACCTAGTCTCTACATTCATATTCCTTACATTGATTTATAACTCTCTTTGGACGCTTGAAAGTTAGTAAGTTGTCTCAAGACCACTTGAGAGTCCCCTAAAGATCATACAAAAACTACAGTCCTACCAAAACATTCAATGTAAACATTTAATAGAAAATTCAACAAATTACTACGTGTTCTTACTACGAATTTACACTTATATATATACGTAGAAATTCTGTTTTTAATACTGTTCTTTGTAACTATCTTTTTTATCACTTTTAATTGGATAGAACATCCATCTTGTTTTCAAGTCCTGGGAACGTAAAGCTAAACTAAAATATAGTAGTATTTCCCCTACATTTTTCTCACGTTTGCCCATATTTCACCAAAGTTTTCTGATTATGCAGCCTCAGTGAGATGCTTCGCATTCGTAACCATTGAGCAATTAGTCTCTTTTGAATTAACTAAGCTTAATGGAAATAGAAAACAAAGAAATGTCGTCCAGTGATTTTATCCAACTTTAGTAATTAATAACACAAGCTAAGTTTTAAAACAACATGGCGTTTTTACGCATCAGTATAAACCTGTCCCAAGTATCCTTCTGCTTTGATTGCCTACAAGTTTGTGACAATTGTCACGTAAGTTATTCATGCAGCTGATATTTGCGTTCGCGCTGAATTGTCTGTTATTTTGCATAAGCTTGTGGGTTCACGGTGCTGGGACAGTTCCAATGTTACTACAAAAATAAGCATAGATTAAGGAAACTATATTCATAGGTCGCTTCAGAAACCGCTGGCGTGAGAAAGTTAACACGCTTAAAACAAATTGAAAATGACAACGTCATAACAATGAAAGAAGTGACTGAAACTTATGTGAACTTATAAGTCTGGGTTTTCCAGTGACTTCATAATGAAAATGTACTCTATAACTATGACAGTAACTCACAGCCACGAAGACGATAGTAGGTCGTGAGGTTTGAAAAAAAAACACCAGAATGACTATGAGAGACCTTGAGATTGCCAAATAGGCAGCAAATCACTGAAACAACTACTATCAATTACATATACTTTGTCGAAAAATTAGAATGAAACAATCCCTTTTTCTTCAATTTAGGACCTGTAGTAAAATGGTTATCCTGTGTTTAGCGACGATTCTGATGTGTTGGTGATCCAATATCCAATAATTTGTCGCGGGCCTTCATTGACCGATTGATTTCTTTCGGCTCATTACTTATGCTTTCATTACGGTTCCGAATCCATAACCATGTTCAATAAGTGGTAGCCTTACCACTAGACTGCACTGACTCTAGTCGGCTGGGTAGTTATTTGTGAATATTTATGTCTCGAAATTCGAGTGCGTCTGACACAAAGCAGTAGATTTTTCAGACACTAGCAGAAACTATATCACTAGGAAGGGTTTGCTTAGTTTAAAGTTGAACGATCATAAAGTGGTTACTCCATTGCTAAGGGAAGACAATAGTTTCAAGAAATAAATCAGTAGGTTAATTGGCTATGCAAATAGTCTAAGAAGGCCGGATTGAAAAAACAAGAGCAGAAACGGGGAAGATAATTGACAAAATAGAAATCAGTTACCCATATGTGTCGGGGAAAACCGTGGCAAATTACGAGACATACATCAGACACAGGTGTTCGAAGCGGGAGATAGTAATTCATAAATGAATTCACGTTTCCCAAGTCTCCTCATAAATCCTTCCTCTAAGAAAGCTGTAGTCATTTGGGCTAGGAATGGATTCCAAGTGAGAGCAATTATTGATCAGTAAAGTTCCATCGTGTCCGATTTCTTGCTCACTTATGAGAAACTTTCCATTGTGTAAATACGGTATTGTATGTGGAAATCATACAGTTTGTTCGGTGGAATGAATCAGAATTAAATTGTGAAGTTAATTTCCTCTCGTTGCTGTGGCCTGATTATATCACACCTTTGATTTGAAATCTTAGTATTACTACAGTACTTATTGCATATCGCGCATTTTAATTTATTTTCTCTATTAAATCACACAGTTTCAAGCCCAAATGTATTCTCACTCCCAGCCACAGTTTTAATTTCTACCTAACATTGTTATTCCTCTTCTAAGTAGTCTTTCTCTAAATCTGCCACACTAAAATGCACATTAAGGACTTATTATTTGTTTTTAGTTACTGTGTTTTTGTATACTAAAAAGCTGAACTTCAATGTATTACTTTTTCTCTAACTGTACGGAACATGTTGAGGATAGATTGTATTCTCCATGAAATTTTACATTTCTCTTTTGGGTAGTATGATTAAGCTGTATTGATAATTGATAACGCGACCTTATCATAATGATATGTTATCAGCTTGATCTCATCATTGTCAAGTTTACAAAACAGTCAGCATTTGAATTATTGAGATAGTGAAGATTTGCAGCTCAAGCGAACAATTTTTGCAGTTTCTCTGAGCTGGATCCAGCCGAGAAACGAAACAATCAGAAATCAAATTACTAACTTTCATAGTACTCAAAGATTTTTCGTACATAAATAATATGTAAATATGATTGGAACACATAAGGTGTTAGTGCTTTTTAGTAACCAGTAATGTAATCATAAAAAGTACATTTTGAATAACATTTGACAATCCCATTTTATTTTGCATTACTTGCATTAGGTAAGAAAAACATATTATCCTCAGTTCTGACTTCTGTCTGTCTCCGTTGAATGACCTTAGGTGTTTTAACTGTTTCAACTCGTCTCTAAGTACTAGAATATCACTTATCCTGAAACTCCTTACTTAACGTTCTATCTGATGATGTAAGGGCATGTGTAAGTATAACTTAAAAATAAAGGTAGATAACACTCTCGTTCATAGATCAATGGAGGCTGTCCACAACATGCTATCGGTTTTAAAGAACTGGTTATTTATTTGTTTATACACATAAATATTGGTAGAAGGGGGCACCAGATATATATGCGCCACACAATAAATGGAATGTTGCTGCCAGGATTCCATTTATTACTGGTTGAAACCTAAAACTCACAGAATATGGTGATGTGGAAATTAACGTTCTCATTGAATGTATGTCAGATGAAATATAGTAATAATTTTATTGTGTCCGCTTCATCAAATATATTTCAACTAATTACGTACTAAAATCATGTGGTTGTATATATGAATGTTCTTTCCCGGAAATGGCATAAGACCCATTACATTCGATAATCATCTACCATATATACTGATCGTTTTCTGTTTAGTATAGACTCCGATCTAAAACAATCGTATAATTAACATGGCTTGGCTTTTAGTTTCATAATAGAACATTACCGCATTTCATAATTTACCAGTGAATTCAAGTTACTAAGTTAAGTCCTTCATATAGATGATCAAGGTATCATGGGATATTGAAAGCCTAACGGTTCCTAGCTATTCTGAAATGTTTTGACTCATAGGGTAGTCCAGAAACGTTTAGAAATCAAGCTTATTATTAGTTTGAAGTTAAACTGTTTACTCGCTTGACTTAAAACCTTGAGCAACACTTCAGTGGAATTCGAAATCCGGCGGTATATTGACGTTTATGTACACAAATCTCTTGAAAACAAAAACTAATTATTTCAATTGGTAGTTGTTCCATTTTTATGGGAGGAAACTTTATTTAACCTGTCATATTCACACTGATAATAGTAGTTTCCAGTCTGATAACCATATCGTAGTTAAAACTCAGAGGAAAACAAGCACACTTAATGATTGTACAAAGAAAAGCAGTTGAAGAGGTGATCAAAACTAATGGTTGTAACCGGATGGCTTGCCTCTCTATCAAAATTATTTTTAGATGAACATGGTCTTATTGAAACAGTATGTCAATAATTCATAAATTTCCATCGATATTTAGCCCCATTACAAACTTAGTTTTTCTTCTAAGGATTGTTATACTCTGCTATTTTAGAATGTTTTGGTGTGAACGACTGGTCATGAAAGCTCGTAATTGGTTTACAAGAACGGTGAAACTAGAACCAGATCTTGGCGATGCATGGGCTTACTTTTACAAATTTGAATTACAACACGGGACGGAAGTGAGTTCATAAAGTATTTTTATATTTCATTAGTACTGTCTCATAAATAGACTTACATAAACAATGAAATAGATTAAATGCTTAGTAATTGAAATACTCAGCTTTAAGAATTAAGTTTTAGGTTGAAATCCTACATCATCTTCCTCCTGATAGTATCACGATACCTCAGGCGAAAGGTATAACTCAAAGCTGAGTAGATGAATTTGGACTGTGTTAGAATTACACTACACTTAATTAGTTTTGGATTTCGTGTTTACAAACAGATTGTCACTAATCATGTCAACTTGTGTATTTGTCGCAAGATATCAAAACGACTGATAAACTTAAAGGCTGAATTATACATCGATGCATTAACTTTTTCTGTCAGTCAACATGATAAGTTCAGCCTGGACGCCAAGTATAGCTTAGAGTATAGGATTTGATTATGTACATAATTAATGTTTCATAGTTGACACAGTATCAATAACTTCAGGATTTTATCTTAATTTCATTTTATTTAGGATCAACAGAAAGAAGTATACCGACGTTGTGTTACTGCCGAACCTCATCATGGTGAAGTATGGTGCCAAATCAGTAAAGATCCTAAAAACTGGCGATTAAAAACAAAAGATTTATTAAAAATCGCAGCAGAAACAATTGTTTTACCAAATTGAATTTGTGTGCTTCGCTCCTATATTTGTATAATTCTCGCAAACAAAAGAAAACTGCAGCGTATGTTGTGTATTGTAAAAGTCAATAATTATTACCAGCCAACTTTTGGCATTCATTACGCGTAAAGGACAACTCATTTTTCGTTTTACACATCGTGTTTAATTTAATAAAAAGCTAAAGATTTATTTAATTTCTTCTGCTTAATCGAACATACATAGTTTTATAATTGTTTTCAGTGATGTCAGTCAGAAATGCATTGGAGGCAGTTTCTTCACTCCACTTGTTTTACTTCCCAGACCATATTTAGAATTAAATGTTCGATTTCTGCGTAAAGAGAAATTAATTGTCAACGGTTAATTAGATGTGTTTCAAAACGTTACGAAATCACAATGCAACTGAATTCCGATTACACAAAATATATTATTGTGTGCAAAGTAACTTGTAATCATACATATATATGGCTAGATAGTTGCGATACTTAACTTCCATTCACTGTTTTGCACGTTCTAACACTTTACATAACCTTTGATTGGATGACAAAATGGTAGTATCATATTCGTAAGCACAGTATATATATATATATATATATATATATATCTATATATATGGTTGCAGTTTTATTCTATGTGGTGGTTAACAGTTACATATATAACCCAACCTAGTCCATGAGGGTTGACCGCATCGCATATCTATTTAAAATTCTTAATAAACATTCCAAATTATCCTATTTCCACCAGCTCATCAGGTGTATCTCATTCGAACGATGTCATAAAAGTCAAGGTTGTGTAACGAGAGCATACGTTATTGGTACTGCTCCATCCGGTGATTAATGCTGTTTTCATTTATTTATCTATTTAAAGACATAAATATTGGTACAAGGAAGCACCAGGTAAGTATGCGCCACACAAATCTCATTTGATTTGTGTGAGTGTTGTGATGTTGCCCAGGTACCCAAACTGAAGCAGGTGGTTATTTTAGGAGGCCACACCCGGAGCCTTTGATCTAAAGGTCTGATCCACAAGGCAGTGGAACATCGTGAGGAGATGCAGTCCCATGGTAGCCGGTGACCAACAGTTGGTTCATACGCCATTTGTTCCCTCAGGATACTGGAGCCTATGTGCACCATTGGTTTGCAATCAGGGTTTTCCAACTCCCCTAGGTGGACTTTCCGTGTCCACCAACCCGGTCAAAGTGCCGGACATTCGCTTTTCGACCTCTCACTTTCGTGAACAACACCCACGCCATGAGAAGGCAGTGAGTAGGACTTCCCTGGTAGAGGCTATATACGCGTGGCCATGTGAGAGCATTTCGAGAGGGAGAGCGGATTCTCCCCACTCTTGACCGTACCAGGGCATTTGGAGGCTTTCATTTATACTCTCATAAATAAGTTTAACTGTGGAAGTCGTTGGAGCTCTCAATACGTACATTCGCTCCACTATTTACTCTTGTGGGCATCTAAATACTTCGGTTATAAAGCGAAAGCGTAGTATTTCTTCCTACTTATCACAGGAATAAAGTGAGTGAAAATGCATTCTTCGATGTATTTAGTTTCCACTTGTTACTTGCATAGACTGTTGGCACAGGTAACTATATCATCATCTAGCAGTCTTATTTTAATTGATACAATATTTCATAATCTTTGATAATGTCGATACTAGTCTTGGATTTACTACGTTATTGTTTTAGACCTGAAACGCCAAGTTTTGGTGAGCTATTTTCTCAGAAATAAACCAACTCTTGGGGTTGATACGTACTGCTACGCAAGAGAAGATAAGTATAGGAAATCTCGTAAATCTTTGCACAATCATTCATTGACTGGAATTACTTCACTTTATGACAGTGTACAGAAATTCAGCAAATTGAAAGAAATAAGTTGGAGAAAATGACACGAGTTAACGTAGGAAATCAGTTACTACGAATTAAACGCTTCACAATCTATGTGAAGTAACGGAATGAGTGAACCTGACTAGTTTTGAGGAATTTTCAGTTATTCCTTCCTGTGTCATTTTTTAGGATTTTTGCTATTTCAATGCAGTTGAATTAATTTCCCCAACACGTATCCTCAGGAATTCTAGATTTATCTTACGACGTTAAACTTTGGAGAACGCCTTCAGTCTCTGAATCTTCATTTATTGCAAAAGATCCAGCTCAGGGGTGATCTTTTGACGACCTGCAGTGTCTTAAGCTCTCATGGGCGTCTGAAACTTATTCTCACGTTCATCTGCAACATGGTCTTATGAAAAATCACTCAAAAATGAGAAGTCCAACAGCAAAGGGAATAAAGGCACGCTTTCTGTTCATTACGATCCGTCAAGTCTCGGATTTCGCCTCCGCAGAAGAGGTGCATGTCAAGTTTCAGGAGTGCTTTAAGAGGGACTTCAATGCCTTTATATGGGTTTTGTACATTATTTCATTTTAATTTCCCAGAATTTGTTTTTACCTGTTCAATGTGGCTAGGTTCTGATTGAGAAGGATCGATGATGGAATGCTAGTAGATTTGAAAGCTCGGTAAATAAAAAACCTCCCCTATTCTATCCACAACCATTTGATTCACTTGAAATACATTCACGTGTGAGATGTAAACTCGGAAAAGCTGACCGACATATCAGAAGCATTCTAGTTAAGGAACACTGAAGGTCACTGTTTACCACCAAGCTACTGGAAAAAATGGTTTGTTTTATTCTAACTTGTTACGTGGGAACTTTCATTATACTGAAAGTAGCAGCTTCAATCTTGGCAACACCGGTTAGCGTGATGTTTTCACATTCTCTAAGCCTAGGCATATCACCAGAAAATTGGAACCTGTCTCACGTCACATCCATTTTGAAAGTAGGCCGAAGCAGAGAACCTTCAGGCTACCGACAGGTAGCATTACTCTCTGTACCCTCGAATTAAAGGAGTCTCTTGTGTGCGACGGTCTATGTGATTACTTAATATCCATGAATCCCTTTTCACTCCAATAGCGCGGTTTCAGAAAAAGTCACTCTTGTATAACCAACCTGCTGATAGCTGTGGAAAGACGGAGAAGCATCCTTTATTGCAAGGAGAAGGTTGAAGTTATATACCATGGCTTCTCAAAAGCTTTTGATAAGGTCAACCATATATGTCTTACCAACAAGCTCAAACAGTCAGGCATCAAATCACCACTGATTGATTGGATTACTTCATATCTAAATAATCGAATTTTTAAGGTCAGTGTTAACTTCACTCTTTCTCGGGTTATAGAATGTCCTAGTGGGGTTCAATGGGTTCAGTACTAGAACTCGATCTTTTCCTTATTTAAACGAACGATATTCTTTAGCAGGTATCGTAACGGTCAGTTATTTTCGCTGATGGTCTGAAACTCTGGAGAGAAGTTTACGACCAAGAGAATAAGCTGGAAATTCAGGAGGATCTGACTTGTCTTCAAAGTTGGTCGGACAACAATGGGCCTGCCTTTAGAATTCCAACGTGTGAGTTAGTTCATCTGAGACATATTACAGAATACGGACAGAAATTAGGTAACTTCTTCTAGAGGTACCCAAAGTTGAGAAAGATCTGAGAGTATTGATACTGCATGATCTGAAGTTTTACGCCGAGACGAAAATGCCTTCCTTGAACTGGTAACATTGAAGCGCATTTTTGGCCAGTTTGACATAAGAACTTTACAAATAATCTTTAAGTCTTATTCGTCCCCATTCACAGTACGGAAAAATATTTTTTCCTCCCCCACTCAAAAAGGATAAGAACACACTGGAACGTATCAAACGACGGGTCATGAAATCAGTTCGGGACTCAAATTGAAGTCATTTGATAACGCCTTCAAACGCCGAAACTTTATTCATCAAAGTACAAAAGTCCTAGAGGTGATTCGCTAAGGACTTACAAAATTCCCAACACTTCTGAGCATCCCCTTAAACACCTACCTCCCAACACAAACATTAGAAGTAACACCCAGAAACTCGAGATACAACACAGCAGAACGGACGGTAGACACACCTTCTACTCCTTAAGAATAATCAAATGTTAGAATTCGCTGCCGACTGACCTAGTTCAGGCGATTTCCCATTAGCCCTTTGAGAGAAAACTTGACATGTTCTTAAGGACTAATGACAGCATCTTACTATGAGTTACCAACTTTTTTTCTTCTTTTATCGTTAATATACCTAGTTTCCTACCTGAAGGCATCAACGATCCACTGCCACTAAATGCGGAAGCCCGTCAAGCAAAAGCTTCCATTCCATTCAGAATCATTTGAATCAGTATTTGGGATGCGCCTATAAAGGCGCTGTGATCAGAAAGAAACGCTACACCGAACTCACTGTCAGTCGCTATAGTGTCCTTCACGTATGTCGATTCTCTTTTGGAATTTTTAATATGGTATCATCGGACATCTATGTTTTTCACGTATGGTCATTTCAGTGCCTATTCGGCACGAATGGTAGCAAAGATTTGGACAGTGTTTTGGACTTGAAAACTGATAGATACATACGATGTAATTCATTAGTATGTAAACGAGGGTCTAGAAAATATACTTTATTTCATACTTTTACTTAAACATTAATGCTTCCATTGAACTGACTTTCTATTGCTTCTATGTGCTTAAATTGTTTTCACTTTTCATCGTATCCCAATTTCCCACGAACTATTTCCCAGTGCATATTTCGTTTTACAGGCGTTAAGACCCCAGTCTAGTTTAAGCTACTCCCTGAAATTTTAGTCCAGTATGTGTTATCATACGTCAAATGTCTCAGTATCACAAGACGTGTTTAATATATATTTGAGTTTGCTTAATTTTAATCAAAGTAATATTTTATACATTAGTTTCTACACTTTCGTCCATCTTTTCGTTGCCTCCTTAGTTCTCAGTAACTAAACATTTTCATTAACTGTTCCCGTTTTCTTATGCTTGTGGGAAATGAAACAATCATAACTTATACATATCCTAACTTTTAAGTTGCTCGTTATTCCTATCTGGATTGAATTATGTAAATTGCATTCACAGAACAGCTTTAAAAGGCACATAGAACACTATATCTTGAATTATCTCAAATAAATTCAGTCAAAATAAACTTAAAATATGGACAGGAGTAGATGTTTTGCTCAAAGATTTCTAGGCGAGACTAAAGAACATGGACGAGCCAATCAGAAGCTTTCGTGGGTTTTCAAGGTCACGGCGCTAAGTTCGGTACCTGATGCTTACGTACGGTCGGTTTACAGCGGATTTTAGAGAAAACATGATAATTAAGCGTCTACAAGATAAGTTATCATAAGATTTTGGCGCAAAACTCAATTATACATTTGGACAGAGTTGTGGCATTATAGTTGATGTCAGTTCGTGATGAAAACCGTAAGTATAATTCCTAACCTTAACCATGAACTGTAAATCATTATTTGAATTCTTCACACGGGTTTATGACCCTCATTTAGTCTTAGTTATTACGTTTACACTCTCAGATTCACTCTAGCGTCGCTCAAATGTCGTCCATAATTCATAGTCTCATCTTTAACCCTAAACCGTAACCCTAAACCTTAACCCTAATATTAAACCCTGAACCATGCCAACATACCGACAACACTGAAACTATGTGGTCGAGGCTGAAAGAATTTTCGGGACTTTATCATGGTTTCAGAGGTCGGCTACTATGGAGCCACAGGGATGAGTTCCTGTGCCGGATGCACTATGATTTTAGAACTTCTGAACCTATATCTAACCTTGATAAGTTTTTGATTCATGTAAAAGAACACTATCCCCTTTAATTTTTGAGTTTTATATAATATATTTTTACTGTATGCTAACTGTCTTCTGATTGGCTAATATTTCTCAAGGTCATTTAAGATTCGTTCAAAGGTCGTCCATGTTCTTTAGTCTCGCCGATTTCTAACATTCAAGGAAAACCTGAGTGCAAATTCATAACTTGCTGTGTAAAAGTATGTTTACAACTCACTTTACATATATACAGTACCTAGGTGTTTTATTTGTAACCAGTAACAGCAAAGTTATGAACCTTGTTAGCAGTATAGCTGGTTGTTTTATTTATAAGGGAAGAAATCTAATACTGGACCATGATACTAAATCACATGGTACATAAATTGATAAATTATTCAACCGATAATTAGGAACTATATTAGATCTACCGAGATTTAATTAAAACGATGTATAAGCATTTAAATACTGGTAAAATTAGAGTAGAATCACTTCTATAAACAAAGTTGTCTAATTTAGTATAGCTGGACGTCCAACTTCGCTCATTGACCAACCACATCTTTTGATACACCATTATGGTTTATTTCAGTAACATTTAAAATTATCGAACATTCGAGTTTGCTATGTTTTATGATAGATACTGGAACAATAGGTGAAAATGTCAGTCCAAACTCTAGTGACTAAAAAGCGAAAGGAGTTTATTGGACTCCCAGCACCCTTGGGATATGCTGCTGGCATAGGACGTGGTGCTGTAGCGTTTACTACAAGATCTGATATTGGTCCAGCCCGTGAAGCTAATGATGTTTCAGATGAACGACATGTTGCTCCATCTAAACGTCGAAAGGAGCAGGAAGAGGAAGAGGAGGACCTAAACGATTCAAATTATGATGAGGTAAAGATCTGTCGGTTATAGTTTTGGAATGTTTTTTGTAATGTTCTACATATAGTTTCCGCCGTTATTTCTATACACAAGAAATATAAGGACAATTTATAGCTATATGAAAATGTGTGCACGAAAGAAAATATCAAATATTTTGTTTACGTCTACAATTCACTTGTAACTTGTATTAAATAATTGTTTGGTAATGCTATTTTATGAGTTATACTGTTGGCCGAAATATAGGCGTTGAATATGTCAAGTTTAAAAATCTTCAGGGTGTTTGGCTTTAAGAAGTTATTGAAATTTAGGAGAATGTTTATTATAATTATCATAAGGTAGGAGTTAGACGCTGAAATCCTCCGAAATGTCAAGTAAACAAAAACTCTACATTTGTACTAAGTTTACTAGTTAAAGTAAGATAACACTAAGGACCAAACAATGCTCATTGAAAATCTGGCTTCCTAGATATCGTTAACCGGTGTTTATCAATTAGTCCTTTCTAACCTATTTTTCTCTGTCTCATTCATTAATCCCGCGTTCATTTTCTACAACTAATTGACCTGGGCTTACTTACGCCTGTTACCCCTCGTCGAGGAGTATAGGCCGCTCACCAGCATTCTCCATCTAACTCTGTCCTGAGCCTTCCTTTGCAGTTCTTTCCAGTTGCTATTCATCCTTTTCATATCTGCTTCTATTTCCCGGCGTAATGTGTTCTTTGGCCTTCCTCTTTTTCGTTTCCCTTCTGGATTCCAAGTTAGGGATTGCCTTGTAATGCACATTGGTGATTTCCTTAATGTATGTCCCATCCACTTCAAACGTCTTTTCCTAATTCCCTCTTCAGCTGGAAGCTGGTTTTTCCTCTCCCATGAAACGCTGTTGCTGATAGTATCCGGCCAATAGATGTTGAGTATTTTGTGTAGACAACTGTTTATAAATACTTGTACCTTCCTGATGATGGTCGTTGTAGTTTTCCACGTTTCAGCTCCGTACAGTAGGACTGTCTTGACGTTCGTATTGAAGATTCTCACTTTGAAATTAGTTGACAGTTGTTTTGAGTTCCATATGTTCTTCAATTGTAGAAATTCTGCCCTTGCTTTGCCAACCCTCGCCTTTACATCTGCATCCGATCCTCCTTGTCTATCAACGATGCTCCCCAGGTACGTGAATGTTTCCACCTCTTCCAGGGTTTCTCCATCAAGTGTGATTGGGTTGGTGTTCTCCGTGTTGCATTTGAGAATCTTGCTTTTTCCTTTGTGAATGTGGAGGCCTATCGATGCAGAGGCTGCTGCTACATTTGCTGTCTTCATCTGCATTTGTTCGTGTGTATGAGAGAGGAGGGCTAGGTCATCTGCGAAGTCCAAATCATCTAGTTGATTCTGAGAAGTCCATTGTATTCCGTATTTCCCCTCAGATGTCGAATTTTTCAAAATCTAGTCAATCACTAAAAGGAAGAGGAATGGGGAGAGTAGACAGTTTTGTCTGACTCCGGTCCTTACTGGAAATACATCTGTCAGCTGCCCTCCATGCATGACTTTGCACTGTAGTCCATCGTATGAGTTTTGGATAATCTTGACAATTTTTCAGGAACTCCATAGTGTCGAAGAAGTTTCCATAATGTTCTCTTGTCCACGCTGTCAAACGCCTTCTCATAGTCAATAAAGTTGACGTATAGTGATGAGTTCCACTCAACTGATTGTTCAACGATGATCCGTAGTGTCGCAATCTGGTCTGTGCACGACCTATCCTTCCGGAATCCAGCCTGTTGATCTCAAAGTTCGGCGTCTACTGCGTCTTTCATCCGATTCAGCAGCACTCTGTTGAAAACTTTTCCTGGTACTGATAACAAACTGATACCTCTGTAGTTCTGACATTGGCTCAGATCTCCTTTCTTTGGTATCTTGATGAGGTATCCTTCTTTCCAGTCCATTGGCACTTGTTCCTCTTCCCAAATCTTCTTTAACAGAAGGTGAAGCATGTTTGCAGTCACTTCAATGTCCGACTTCAGTGATTCAGCTGGTATATTGTCAGGTCCTGCCGCCTTCCCACTTTTTATTTGTCTGATGGCCATCTTGAATTCTTCGATTGTTGGTGGAGTGATATCTATAGGAAGGTCAGTGTGTGCTGGTTTGATGTCCGGTGGATTCAATGGGGCTGGTCTATTTGGTAGTTCCTCGAAGTATTCTGTCCATCTTTTCCTTTGTTCTTGAATCCCAGTGATTGTCTTTCCTTCTTTGTCCTTGACTGTTCTCTCTTGTTTACTATATCTCCCTGCCAATTTCTTCGTTGTATCATATAATTGTCTCATATTCCCTTCTCTTGCAGCTTTTTCCTCCGTCGTTGCTAGTTCTCCCATGTATTTCTGCTTGTCGGCCTTAATGCTTTTCTTCACTTCCTTGTTTGCTTCTGTGTAGTCTGCTTGTGCTTTGACTTTCTCTGCCCGTGTTCGGCTGTTGTTAATTGCTAGTTTCTTGTTCTTCCTTTCTTGAATCTTGTTGAGGGTTCCCATAGAGATCTATTCCTTGTGATGTTGCTTCTTAGGACCATTGTGATCTCCTCCTTCTTTGTTCTGAATGATGCTTTGATTATCCTGGGTCCATAAGATTCCCATCCCACAAGTGCATTTTGTGCTTCTCTGAACAGAATTAGAGCAACTCCCTGAGTGTGTGGAGCATTTTCCCGTTCGTGACCGGAGTACAGCAGCATCTGTCCTGTACCTAGCCTTTGTTGTCCAGTTTGTGTCCAATGGGTTTCGCTGATTCTTAGTACTGCCAAGTTGTATCTCCTCATTTCCATTGCTATTTGGCTGGTCTTTCCTGTCTCCCACATTGTCCGGACGTTCCATGTACCTATAAAGAGTGTTGCTCTGGTTGTTAGAAGGTGCATCGGTCTCGTGACTTCCGAAGAATTTCGGCTTTCATCATGAGACGTCATAATTCTTCCTTCAACTTGGAGGGCAGAGTTTAAATGGTTTGAATTATTTTTTCTGGTTAGTGTTTTTTTAGCGAGTTAGCTTTTCTACGAGATGGGGTCGCTAATCCCATGCCCAAACCCCCTCCTTTACCCGGGCTTGGGACCGGCAGTAACTCTAGAAGAGCTACAGGCGGAGTTAATTGACCTGGGCACTCGGTCTTTAATCCTGTTTAATTATTTATATCCATTCTATTTGCTAAGGCTTCGGAAAATGTAGCACTATCAACCTTTACATTATGACTGCACTCCACAGGAGAAGTGTTTTTTATAGTCAGTAAATTTAGTTTGTATTCTTATACCCTATTTCAATTTCATCTCTACTTATTTGGAATTCCCGCAACTGTTTTCTGTACTTTCTGACTCATGAAATCTGTGCATTTCTGAAGTAATTAGGTAGGAAATGTAACTATGCCGTTTACAATACAATAAATGATTTCACTTAATATTTTTCGGGGTTGTCGAAGTCAACTTTAAAATTAAACGACTTGTCAAACAAAAGAGAGAGTAATGTACATGTTAATTCAGAACTTTTTCAAGTTTCCCCTTATTCAAAGTCCCCGAGAAATAATGCGCTTCTCGCGATAAATAATAGAGGGTTGAGTGTATAATAATGATAAAATGGTGAATACGAACCAGTTTTTTTGGCTCAAACCAACTAATCCTCAGTGGTAAAAAGTGCAAAATAATGCCATGAAATACAACTCATTCATTAGGTAGGTGATTACACTTTTGATGTGGTAAGATGTTAAAAGAACGTATATTCGATACTCCCATTTCACTTATTCCTGAGCCACACACGTTTAGCTGCCAGTGTGACACTAGACGAAACCTATCATCAGCTGTATTTTACGTTTTTTCTACCAGCCTAACACTTCATACTTACAACATGTATCCATCTTTAGGTTAAATAGAATCTTTTTTATTATTTTGCATCTAGTTTACAGGCTATGGTGGTAGTTTGTGTGCAAAAGATCCTTATGAGAAGGATGATCAAGAAGCAGATGCTATTTATGCTTCTATTGATGATAGAATGGATGAAAGACGACGGGAGTACAGAGAAAAACGTTTTCGCGAAGAGATCGAAAAGTACCGTCGCGAAAGACCAAAGATTCAGCAGCAGTTCATGGATTTGAAGCGTGATTTAGCGAGTGTATCTGATAGTGAATGGAATGCTTTACCGGAAGTTGGCGATTCACGAAATAGGAAGCAAAGAAACCCGAGATATGAACGTTTCACTCCGATCCCAGATAGCATAATTGCAAAAGGCTTGTCTGATGGTCAAGTAAGTCATCTTATAATTCTATTTCAATCCTTCTGTTTTAGACTAATGTTTCTGTAGATGTAATTGAACAAAGTTTAGGGGGTTTAACTACACCCTTTACTTCACAAACAGCTCAAATGGATATTGATATGAAAAAAATTGGTGAAGCACGTACTTCTTTGATGGATATAAAGCTGACGCAGGTACATTTCTTGATGTTGTCCACTTAAATGTTTGATTTCATTCTTAACTTTATCTGTTTTACAATCTTCAGTAATACCAAACTATAGCATTGCAGTCTATAATGGAGTCCTAAATGCACAGTTCCTACCACTCAGAGTTCATTTGCTGGGTATATCAGCAAATAAGTTCCGCAAAAATGAACACAAAAGTAAAACCTTTCCGTAAAGCACATAACTCGACAAGCCGAAAACAGTTGCGTCTAATCGCAAGTACTTTTTAAAGTAGTATTTTCGTGAAGCTACTAAAATTCATGTATTTATGCCATTAATAACAAGATTATCGTGGCTGTTACACCGATATGAAAATAGAACCACTAGTTTTTTAAACACATTACGTGAGTTCTGTACGTCTGCGTATGGTTGCATAATTTATTAAAAAAATATACTGAGAATCTTATTTACTTATATACTTGAACACATGAATATTAGTACAAAGGGGCACCGAATACATATGCGCTACACAAGTCACTTGATTTGTGTGTGGGCTGTGATCCTGTGCGGGCGCCCAGACCGAAGAATCGTTTTTGCAGTCTCCATTGATCTTCATTCTTTGCAGACATTGGCTAACAGTTTTAACTAATGCTTTGAATTCATTATAGACAGATAGTAGGCGAATAGGGAAAGTCAGTTGATGAAACTGGAAATCTTCGGTGACTGATGTTTTTGGGTTGTGTTACGTATACCCAGCCACCATCTACATCGCCACCCAATATTAGCTGGTGTCGGAGTTGGAAGAAAACCAGAGGCGAATAAACCAAAACATGCCACTCGTCCATGAAGTCATCAAATGTTGATTTAAGAAATCTGGTAGATAAGGACTATCAGACTAGGGTTCGCGCGATAATCACAATCAGTGTTTTGAGACGTTAAATAAAGTAGCTCTTAATCGGTCACAGTGGCCTAGATACAATCACTCCTTAAATCATAACTTACTTACTTACGCCTGTTACTCCCAATGGAGCATAGGCCGCCGACCAGCTTTCTCCAACCCACTCTGTCCTGGGCTTCCTTTTCTAGTTCTATCCAGTTCTTGTTCATTCTTCTCAAGTCTGTCTCTATTTCTCGGCGTAATGTGTTCTTTGGTCTTCCTCTTCTCCTTTGACCTTCAGGATTCCATGTGAGGGCTTGTCTTGTGACGCAATTAGCTGATTTCCTCAAGGTGTGCCCAATCCACTTCCAGCGCTTCTTCCTGATTTCTTCCTCTGCTGGAATCTGGTTTGTTCTCTCCCACAGTAACTTATTACTAATAGTGTCTGGCCATCGGATCCGAAGTATTTTGCGTAGACAGCTGTTGATGAACACTTAATCATAAACTTCAATATTATTTCATGCCTTCCGTTTCTCGAATACAGATCTTTTTTTGAACCGTATTCTTCAATGTTTGGTCCTTCTAGCCTTTAATTAGATTTCACCGCTATTCGTTTTGTTGATTTCTCTTCATTGTGGTGATGTTATATAGGTACTTGGACTGATACACACTTTTTCTAGGCTTTATGCTGATTACTTGTTATGACGCCTTATAACTTCTTCCAATCCATTTATAACTAGGTTTCTGACAGTGTATCAGGACAAACTGTTGTTGATCCTAAAGGGTATTTAACTGATCTACAGTCTATGATTCCTCAACATGGTGGTGATATAAACGACATGAAAAAAGCTCGACTCTTATTAAAATCGGTACGCGAAACTAATCCTAAACATGCTCCTGCATGGATTGCATCTGCTCGTTTAGAAGAAATAGCTGGTAAACTCCAGGTTAGTTTAGTCATAAACTGGTCTCATATTTAGCCATTTTATAAACTTCCATGTACTTAACTTACCAAGTGTATCATTTTGTCATGCAATTACTGTGGTATATTCTATAGAGATTTGGTCAGTGGATAATTTCAGTAACTAATCAGGTGGTATACTGACCAGATCACGTTTTACTTCATATTCTGTCATCCTGGATTGGGTGAATAACATAACCCATTAATCAAGTATAAATTTTTTATTCAGTTTTAAGGAGGATTTTCGTGTGGCTAGTGATATTGCTTGTTTTCCCAAAACGAAGTAAATGGAGCAGGGTTCAAACCTGTAACACCAAACCACCTCTCCAATTTTTGAGAGCTCTCATTCAAATTGTTGCTGCTGATACCATCTCCGATATCTTTGGAAATCCCGAAATTACATTGTTCACCATAGAAAACTTGACATCAAAGAAGTCTGTACTACATTCTGTGATCCTTGATGTTTGATCCATATTTTAAACTAGATAACATGTATTCTAACGAAGCATTTGTTTATTTCAAGCAAGAATACTGATAAGAAGCGTTAGTTAGGATGGATTTAATGAAAAATATGGACACTCAATTATATTAAAGTTGGTGTGAAAACTTATTAAGAAGCTGTAGAATTGAGATATATTTGTTGGCAGTTTTCAGTATTATGTTCATATAGTCTTTTGTACGATACCAAATGAGCTTGAGCTCAATTTATCCAATATTAAACTTATAAATGTAATCATTGAGCTGTCTAGTCCCTAAGGGATCTTACCTAGCACTAAACATTTTTGTCAATAGACGATTGCGTAGTAACTATTTTCATTATTTACTTACGTACGCCTGTTACCCTTCGTGAAGCATAGGGCTCCAACCAGGATTCTCCAAGCAACTCTGTCCTGGGCTCTCCTGTTCAGTTGTTTCTAAATGCTATTCATTCTTACAACCAGCGCAACAATTAACATAGGTTCACAGAATGTCCAGACAATATGGCAGACCGGAAGAACCAGTCGAATAGCTGGGGAAATGAGGCGGTGCTTGAAATAAGTGAAACCCATTGAACCCAAGCTGGAAAGAACCATTTACATATTGTCTTGTTATAGGTGCTGATGTACTTTTATAGGCTAATCTCACAATGTGATCATTAAAGTAGATAGAGTTTTAACCTACGTGCTTAATAAAGTGGATGGTAAAATAAATAGCTAGATGAAGTTCAAATACATAGGTTTTAGTCGGAGTTTGTTACTACAAATTCATTACTTAAAAAGACGGTTTCTATAACACTACATCTTATCATTTCCCTTTTTCCAGTGTACTTTTAATTAAAACTAATTTCAGGTCATTAGTTTATTTCTATTTCATTATATAGGCAACTGTCTGAGGATACCTTAAAGAATAAACCTGAGAATTACATTACATTAATTAAAGATGGGCAATAATTGAAATTAGATGAAGCTCATAATGTAGCTGAATTCGGCCAATTTACTTTATGAATTCGCTTGATTGTACAACTATAAGACTCGTTCACATGATATCTATAGTTTCATGGTTGATTATATGTAAGTTTATATGAAAACATGTCTGTCCTCCGAAACTCAACTTTGAAAAAAAGATGGTCTAATAAATACTTTGCATTCAAAGCTACAAACATACTAAGCACTTAGTTAATAATTATATATTAATATTATTTACATACATACACAACTACTACTTTGTTCATACATAATTATTCATATCAGTATATTATTTCCCTTAAAAAGCCAGATTTCCTAAACTGATCGTATTGATTCCACATTATTTGATTGCATGGTTAAAACTGGTACTGGTAACTTTTATCCTGTCAATATAGCTTATAAACTTCTTTAATTTTCTGTGGAATAAAGGTTGCGCGCAATTTAATTCTTAGTGGATGTGAAGAATGCCCTAAATCAGAAGATATTTGGCTCGAAGCAGCACGGTTAGTACCATCTGAACAAGCAAAATCTGTTGTAGCTCAAGCTATACGTCATTTACCTCAGTCAGTCCGTTTATGGGTAAAAGCAGCCGACTTAGAAACAGAGCATAAAGCTAAAAAAGTTGTATTTAAAAAGGGTAAGTTTTCAGATATTTTATTGTTGTAAACGACTTTTGTTTCAAACTATAATAAAACTCAGTAGTCAGTCTCACTTTCATGTGTTTGGCTTCGAGCCACAATTGTACAAATGCTAGAAGATTACCCGCCTATTGAAAGTGAGGTAGGTTATACAGGGTCCAATCCTATAGATGTTTAGTGGGAAAATAATCAATTGTTTCATCATGGCGATCGGAACTTTCTGTCCATTTCGATGGTGTCTTAGGGCTGGTTTCTCAGTCCCTGAACTAATGATAGGACATGTAGCAGTTGGGCGTGTAGACCACTTCACTTATATTGGTAGTCTCATCACCCCTAGTATGTTGGCGTCTGACGAAGTCTGAGCTCGAATTCAGAAAGCTCAGTTGGACTTTATCTATTTACATCACATGTGGCCTAGGCGAGACAACCGTTTGTCAACTAAAAAATGAGTATGCTGAGCACCAGTTCACTCTCTTATGCTTTATGGCCGGGAAGAATAGCCTTTAAAAATAGAGAATATTTGTAGGTTACTAGTATCCTACTGTAGTGAAGGAGGACACAAGTGAGGACAACCAATTATGTATTCGGCACAAATTACAAAGTTCTTTGGTAAAATAGAAAAACCATCTCTGCAGTTGACTGACATTTACACGCTTCTGTTTGTCTTCTCGCCGGATCGTGTAAACGGAGCCACGTCTCTCCGTGACAGTCTACGGTCCTTCTCACTTCGGGATCAACTTTCCTGACCCTGGTCCCCTTGATATCTTACCTTCCCGTTCTCTACACTTTACCAGGTCCCCTACTGCAAAAGGCTTCCACGTTCTCCTCTGATGTTCCACCTTCTCTATGTCTTATATTTGTTTCTTCTCCACGTTCCTTATTGCCTCTCTCCTCTCTTTTCTTAATCTTGTTGTTGTGGCCAGGTCTTATTATGCATTGGAAGCCGTGGCTACTTACCATACATACGTAGGAAAGGTGACTTCTTGGTTGTTCCTTGTATGGAGACATCATGCACCAGCAAAATTAATTTTAACTCTTTCTCTCAATTTCCTCCTTTAGATGCTAACTATTCCTTTAACGTCCGGTTGTTTCTTTCTGTAAACCCGTTCGTCTGAAGGTGATACGGTGTAGTTTGTATCCTCTTGATGCCAAACTGCTTTAGACGGGCCTTAAACTTGTCACTTTTAAAACAGGGACCCTGGTCGGTTAAAATCATTATCGGTATTCCGTGTTACTTTACAATATGCCGGATTTCTACTTCGGTTACTGTTTTTGCCCGCTGTTCTGCGATGGGTAGGGCATCTACCCACCGTGTAGCATGTTCTGTCATCACTAGCAGGCATTGGTTGCCGTTAGCCGTCTATGGAAACGGTTCCATCACATCCACCGACCATAGATCACCGACTAAAGTTACTGGAACTGACTGCGATGGCGGTTGTTTGTATCGATCGCTTTTCATTAGTTGGCACTGCTGGCAAGTTAACACGTATTGGGCCACATCGTCTCTCATTCCTGGGCAGTATGCGCTTTGTTGTAGTAAATCCGTTGTTCCTGAGACACCTGTATGCGCTACCTGGTGACACTCATGTATCATCTTACGCCGCCAGTCTTTCGGGATCACAGCCACCCAATTTTTGTCATTGTCCTGCCAGACCAGTGCTCCATATGTGTTCACTCTGTCTTTTCTTTTGCTGAAGCAACATTATTACCTCCTTATCCATTGCTCGTTTGTCAACGTCTGTTCTCTCTTTTGTCACTCTGATTACCTCCCAAAGTTTAGGGTCAGATTTCTGCTGCCGGATGAGTTGTAGTGGGTCCCCCTCTACACTATTCACTGCGTGTGTTGTCAATGGAAGCTCTGCTTCCATGTCTGATCTTGATAGGTAGTCCGCCATTATGTTTTGCTTTCCTGGAACATGGCCGATACTGAGGTCATACTCCTGCAGACGTATCATCGATCGCGCCAACTTCCCACGGGGTCTCTTGCTGTTTTTAGCTACTGTAGAGGTTTTATGGTCAGTCTCGATGTGAAATCGTCTACCTAAAAGGTACGGTCTCCACTTGTCTACTGCCCACACAATTGCTAAACACTCCTTTTCGATTGGTGAATACTTCTGTTCAGTAGGCATGAGAACGCGACTCGCGTATTCCACCACTCTATCAGACTGACTCAAAACAGCACCTATACCATTATCACTTGCATCTGCAGCCACTGTAAACGGTTTCTCGGGTTCAAGCAGTCTGAGCGTCATCTGGCGATTTGATTTGATTGAACGTTTGTTGGGCGGTCTCAGCCCACGTAAACTTAGTGTTACTCAACAACTTATATAGTGGTGCTGGTATTTCTTTGAAGTTCTTGACGAACCAACTGTAGAACGCCGCCCTTCCCAGAAACTGTCTCAATTTCCTTTTCGAGTTAGGTACTGCAATGTTCTTTATGGTTAGAATTTTCTCCGGTAGTGGTTTTATTTCTCCATTTCCTACTTTATGCCCCCCAACAACGTGATGTTACTTTTCGCTATCTGCGACCTGTCCTTATTAATTCGAAGTCCGAATTCTTCAATTCGCTTTAAGACCGCTTCCACACGCTTGACGTGATCTGTTTCTGTCTAGCTGTACACAACTACATCGTCGCCATACACGTCGACATTATCTAGATCCCTGAGCAGTAACGACACTAATCTTCCGAACGTAAACGGTGCACCTGCCAACCCAAACGATATTCGTCTAAATGGATACTGTTTGTCACGTACAGTAAATGCTGTCTTACTTCGACCGCTCTCTTTTGTAGGCAGTTGCCAATAACCTGACCGCAAATCCGGTACTCTAAACACCGTAGCATTCCGCAGCCTATCTAATGTTTCCACTACTGTTGGCATTGCACAAGGTTTCAGTTCTGTTATATTATTCAGTTCTCTAAAATCGACACAAAATTTACACTTTCCATTCGCTTTCTTTATCAAGAGTATCGGTGAGGTATATGGGCTGTCCGCTTCCCCCATTATACCATCTTTCAACATCTTTTGGACCTGTCGATTTACCTCAGCCTCTAAATGCACAGGGACACGACGTGTTGCAAATATACTTACTCCATCGTTCTTTATCGGGATTTCGTGCTTCACTTTGTCGCAAAATCTGTACGGCTCTCCTTCTCCAGTAAACAGTTTCGCATACTTTGTGCACAACTCGTTAATGTTTGGCTTCTTCGTTGAAACGGCTGTTGCCACTCTTACCTCAGCCACTTCGCTACATTCATGTATTGGGAACGAACCGTACTTTTTGACCACCTTACCTCTTCTTAAGCCAACTATTGCCTTTACTTCTTTTAGGAAATCTGTTCCTAATATCGTACTCGATAGGCTTGCGGTTACCATGAATAGGAAATTTATCTCGACACCACCCACTTTTACGATACTATTAGACACACCAAATACCTCTAACATGTGTCATCCTATGGTGTGGACTGCTAAGGTACACGGCTTGAGTCTCTTACATTGCTCCTTACTTATTAATGATACTGCTGCCCCTATCTCGATTAGGCACACTGAATCTCGTTCACTTATGTTCATTCTTGTGTAGACTGTCCTTCTATCTACCAGTGCAACAACCCCCAGATTCCTAGGGTAGAAAGAACACGCGTTATAACGTCTAAAATATCTCCGTTTCCGCCTTGTTGGACAGTTTATCTTCCAGTGTCCTGTCCCTCCACAAGCTTAACACTTATTATCCCCTTTATGATTTCCTCGTAATACGCTCATACGCCTTCTCGGTACTATTTATTTCCTGACTTCCACACGCGACCGGAGCTACTGTTCGTGTCATCAACTGTTGCATCACCTCAAGCTCACTGATATCCATAGGTTGTACGGCGTTTACCAGTCTCAGCTGCTGGGAAACGGTAACGAGCACGCTCTCGATAAAATGCGACACCAACAACTGTGCCTCCAACTCCTCATCCGAATTCGGTAGCGCGTGGCGCAACAACCTGGTAAGCTCCACGGGCAGCACCATTGGGTCACCATCGATGGCACCTTCGCCGCTCGGAACCTCTGCAGTGCTTATTCCCTGTCCACTGGGCTGTCGAACTCCGCGATCAACCGTTTAGTGACTGCCTCTTATGTCGTCCTCTCGCCAGCACCGTTCGAGCTGTCATGTACAGCTTTCGCCTTGCCCCTCAGCAGTGTCTCCGGCACCACCATCTTCACCTTAGGCTCCTTCACTCCCACCAGCTCTGCAACAGCCTCAAACTCATCCAGGATGTTCAGCACATCTCTGTCCTTGAATTCCTCCGGCCATGAAATCTTCATCCTTAGTGGAGGCAGTGACACCATATGTAGGGAAGGAAAACACAGGTGAGGACAACCGATTATGTATTTAGCACAAATTACAAAGTTGCTTGATAAAATAGAAAAGCCATACTCTGACACTTCATTTGCAAAATGCTCATTAATTATCTCAGACTTCATTGTTCCTGGATTTCCACACCAAATGGTTTCTATTTCTGTACTTCCCTTCTCGAACTTCTCAATGTTCTGCTGCCAGATATTCTATTCCTGACTCACGATGTATACTACTTATTTCGATATAAGTAGTCCACAATACACTACCATAGATGTCTTTGAACCATCACTCGAACATCATGGGACCACCGAGTCGGCAATTCAGACGTTAGAGACAGAGTACTAAGTGAGAATGGCAAATTCATTTATGACGTAGTGAATGTTTATCTGCTCAGATGGTTAGGATATGCATTACGTATGACCGTCCGCCGACTATTTCGATACCGGATGGTGGCTGGCAGAAAGTTAGAAGCGACCGAACCGAAATATGACATCATTCCATGAAGATAATAACTGTTGGGCTGACCCATATAGGTAGGTGCATACTACTTGGTTTGTGTCTACGTGATTATCGCAACATCTACCGTTGCTGCTACCTTGACGTGGTGGTAGGGCTTGCCTATCGTTATTAACCAATCGAGCTATACTGGCTGGAACAATCGTTCCTCAAGGTCCCACCATGCCAGACAGGTTGGTTGAAGAGCGGTAAGACTAAAAGCAGCAAACCTAAGGTTTGAAGGCGATGTCGTACTGCTGACTGTACAGAGCTGTGACGGCAGTAAGGTGTTTCCTCAGACAACCAGTATAACAGCGATGCTGCCTTCCCACAAGAAAGGGTGGGGTTAGAAAAGGCTGAACCTCAAAATGCACACCTCGCCTTATCCCACGGATTTTCGTTTCCGGCGGTAAGGTTCCTACAAGTACGGAGCTAACACAAAAATTACCCACATAACGGTCGTGCGTGACCGACCTTGAGCAGTTGTCCCTTGGGCACTGCGGTCACGCTATCAGGTCACTATGACCACTTCTAACCCGAATTCCCTTTCCGATACCTCTAGAAAAACCCTTCCACGGTGTGGGCGACAGGGCAGAACAAGCACTATTAGAATGGATCCCCGTTAACAGTCGCCTATGTGATGTCCGGCCAAATGACTGCGTGAGACCTCGGAATGATGGGGTCACACGTCGTTGCCTTTACGTCGTTTCTGTCTACGCTCCCATTGACTGCAGCCCGGATGAAGTGAAAGATGACATGTACAGAAAGCTCTCTGAACTTCTTCAAAAAGCTAAGCGCTCAGACAAATTACTCGTAGCGGGTGACTTTAATGCTCAATTAGGCAGCTTAAACCAAACAAAAAGACATTTCTGTGGGTATTTTAGTATTCCGGCTTAGCGAACAGATAATGGTGATTGTGTGTTACAACTATGTTCAGACAATCGTTTATTTTTAGCAAGCACTAATCTGAAGCATAAGGAGAGACATCGTTTGACATGGCGACCACCTGCACCAAACCAACGATGGACTCAAATAGAGCATAGTGCCATCAGTCATCATTGGAGAGGCTCGATAGAAGATTGTTGCTCGTATTGGAATACATATTTTGACTCTGATTACGCTTTAGTACGAGCACGAATTTGTCTGAGCCTCACTGGACGCAGGAAAACTACACTAAGAAGACCCATTAGGATTAAGCTGGATGACGAGAAAGCCAAAAGTAATTTCCAGGAACAACTGAGTTCACATCTAGACAGTTCTGTAAATGACAATGACCCAAATGTTGCTTGAGAAGATATACGAACAACTGTGGAAACAGAAGTAACATCTATTAGTAGTTTAAACCAAAGGATTCCAACAAACCAATGGATTTCTAAGTCTATTTCACTGATGGATTCGCATAAACTCATCCCATCAGGTTCTGAACACGATGAAGAGAAAACAAGTCAGATCTAGGATAATCAGAAGTCTACGGAACGATCGTGAGTAGCAATGGGCAACGAAATGGAAAAGGCAGCGGCTGTAGGCAACACCAGACAACTCTTCAGACTAATAAAAGAAACCGGAATTAATAAGTCAAGTGTAAGCGAAACAATCTCGGAGAAAGACGAAACCTTATCTGCTCTCAGCCCGGACGTTTAGAACGAAGGACGGAACACGAAGACGCTTATAACATGCAGTCTTCTGTTTGAAGTGAGTAACAATGCCAGGAAATTTGGAATGCGTTTCTCCCCCTTTGAATTCAAATTGTTGCTTCAGGACTGGCCTTTGTCAACACCTGAACTAAGGATAGGGAGTGAATTAGTCGAGTTCGTCGACAACTTCACTTATCTTGGACGTCTGATTAGCTCCAATGGGTCGGTGTCTGACGAAATCTCAGCACGGATTCTAAGAGCTTGTTTGGCTTTTGCCAACTTACGTCACCTATGACGAAGACGAGATATCCGATTATCAATTAAGGGACGAGTATACTGCGCAGCAGTTCGTTCTACTTTACGGCTGCGAAGCGTTGCCATTAAGAGTAGAAGATGCGTTGTAATTGATGATTATTATCGTAATCAATGGTTGGACACTGTGTGAAATGGCTCAGAATCGATCGTATTGATATACAGGTGGACCTACTCTTTGTCTTTTCTTTGATCCTAATTTTCTAAACTACCTTACAGATGCTTTTCACCATCACACGAATCTATATTTTCTTTTATGATATCGTCTATGCCTAATCTTTTCTACCATTACTAATACTGTTATTACATCTACTATTCCGGGATTCGGCCTGACAGTTTCTTCTCACCGTTCTAATGGTTTGTGGTAACTTGGACCAATGTACGCATGTTCCAGTTTCTACGTTGTGTGTGACTGACTCCTTCTAGGGAAATAACTGCAATTATTTGAAAAAATATGGCTGGCTCCCGTCACGAATTGTTACCAGCTAGCGAATCACGAAAAACCAGATGACTTGATAGTTATTATATTATTGTTCGAGACTTCTTTGACGTATCCGGTTAAGATATCATGCGGTATAAGACTGAAAACACTCAGATCTTACTGTATGTGCGTTACTGTTTAGCCATTTCCAACTTCAGTCAACTCATCAGTATAGAATTTAGGCCGTTATTCATAACATCACTAACTCGCTGATGGCGGGTAAAGATCTGGTTATATCAAAAGTGAGATAAAGTTAAAACGATGTCCCATTAAATTCCAACCCAGTACCCGAATGGTATCGTCCTCATCATAATACTCAAATGTTTGAGGCTCTAATCTTTGTAGGGTTGCCAGTGTGCAAAGAATCACAAACTAGGCTAAATAATTGTTCAGTACTTCCTAGTTTTCAGTGGTACTACAGTTATTGCCAGTTCGTAGGGAATATGGCTCTGAGTGTGCACATAGTTTCCACAAAACCTCTTAGATAAAAAAATATTGTGAAATTTTAGATCTTTGTAATAAGTGAATAATGTAAGTGGCGCAATGTTAAGTTTATCAGTTATAAAAACTTAATAGTACACGAGAACTTATCTAACTATTTGGATAATATACGTTTTCACCGGTAACAAATACATTTCACAAAACGAACTTGATTTGTTCATGCAACTTCGTCCGAAAGAGTATTTTAACTATCCTACTAAACCAGAAATAACGCGAAAACTATTCATGGTTATTTTTCGAAAACTAACCATAGATCATAAATTCCACTTACATTCTCAATGTTTCTTGTGAATTCAAAGTTACAGTTTTTAAATGTAAGGGATTCATGAAGGATGGGTCATACTTTTAGCTTTCTTTTACATGAACACAGCAGCTATGAACTCATTTTACTGAATCATTGTGTGAAATTTTCATAAGCAGCCATTTTAAAATTAGTGGATTTGTTTTCACATTTTCAATTCAGCATTAGAACAAGTTCCGAACTCTGTAAGGTTGTGGAAATTGGCAGTTGAATTAGAGGATGAAGATGATGCCCGACTAATGTTATCTTTGGCTGTTGAATGTTGTCCAACATCTGTTGAATTATGGCTTGCATTAGCTCGTCTGGAAACTTATGAACAAGCTAGAGTTGTTTTGAATAAAGCTCGCGAAAGCATTCCTACAGACAGACAAATTTGGTTTGCAGCCACACGTTTAGAGGAGGCTCAAGGAAACCAGAATATGGTACAGAAAATTGTTGACCGTGGTGTCGCGTCTTTACAAGCAAATATGGTTGAAATTAATCGTGACCAGTGGATTAAAGATGCAGAGGAATGTGAAAAAGCTAAGAGTGTTCTTACCGCTCAAGCTATAATGTAGGTTTTCTAATTAATTTCTGTACACAGCTATCTTCCTTATTCTTGAATTATCAATCTTAGTAAACTTTATCTTGTAATGGTTATTTGTCAGTTTTGAATTTGTATGTGGTCCTTAGTTAAGTGAGTGAGACAATACAGATATTAACTTTTGTCTAAGTTCAATTATCACAGCTTTGATTCATGACATTCGCTCAATTTTTTCAACTGCTATTAGAGGGGCTTCAGTTAGATAACGTCCTGTTCGTGAAAGAGCATAGTTAACATTCCTATATATATATATATATATATATATATATATATATATATATATATATATAGACAATCATTGAAATAAGACATAAGTTATTACAGCCATTTATTTAAACACATAAACGTTCGTACAAATGGCCATCAAAATATGTATGCTCCACACAAATCACTGAAGTTTTGTGTGGGTTAGTATAGTATCCTACCGCCCAGACCGTAGTGAGGGGTTTTCTTTGAAACCCGCTCCTTCTACCTTTGACCCAAAGGTCTCAGTCAGCTACAACGTAAGACCAGGCACATTTATGCATCGGTCCAAGTTGCCATACCTCGTTAGCACAACAAGATGAACACCGGATTCATAGAAGTAATTAATGTAGTGGTGGTAGTAGTATATAAATTATAGGTTGTATATAAGGGTATAGTATAGGAAGGAAGAGAGATATGAAGCAATTTTAGTCTCAAGGTTTAAAGGAAGATAAAGAGTGTATACACCTACGCCATTGTGATCGATTCTCAGCCATGTCACCTAGAGTCTCCAACCATTGGTTACCCAAAGGTCTAATCCACAAGTCAGTGGAGCAACGTTAGGAAATGCAGTCCCATGGTAACCGGTGATTGAGAATAATTTCATACTCCGTTCTCTTACTCTAGACTTTGGAGCCCCTGCTCACCATTAGTTTGAAGTCAGGGTTTTTCAACTCTCCTAGGTGGATCCTCCATCCCTACTAACTCTGTTAAAGCGTCGGACATTCACTTTTTATTCTTTCGACTTCATAAACAACGCCCACTAGACTTTAGATGCCTTGCTACTCTCGAGGGTGAGGAGAGTCCACTCTCCTCGAAATTCTCTCACATGGTCACGCGTATACAGCCACTACCATGGAAGTCCTACTCACCGCCTTCTCGCGGAGAGGGTGTTGTTTACAAAATTGAGAGGACAAAAAGCGAATGTGCTGCGCTTTAACCGGGTTGGTTGACACGGAGAGCCTACCTAGGGGAGTTGGAAAACCCAAATTCCAAACCAATGGTGCACAGGGGCTCCAGGATGCTGAGAGAACAAATGGCGTACGAACCAATTGTTAGTCACCGGCTACCACGGGACTGCATCTCCTAACGTTGCTCCATTGTCTTGTGGACCAGACCTTTAGGTCGAAGGCTCGTGGTGTGGCCCCCTACGAAAACCACCTGCTTCGGTCTGGGCACCCTGGCAGCATCACGGCCCACACACAAATCAAGTGGCTTGTGTGGTGTATATATATTTGGTGCCCCTTTGTACCAATGTTAGTATTTCATAATAATAACAACGATAGTAATAATAAATGCTACCACCTCGAGAAGGAAGTGAGTAGCCCTTCCTTGGCAGTGGTTATATACCCGTGGTCATATGAGAGCATTTTTAGAGGGAGAGCGGACTGTACCATAACCTTTAGGAGGCTCGTTTGGATATTAAAATTAAAGGGGTTTAGGTGTAGACACTATGATCATGATTAACTGATTCATGCTCGTAATTTAGGTGACAATTGCAATCATTCGTCCTTATTTTTTTATTCACATTGGATACCTAAATTGTTCAGTGCTTTAGTTATTGATGCCAACAGCAAGTTATTCAAATCCTTGCTACTGCCCCTTGATGTAATATTTTACAGTCTTAATTACCAAGATACTGAGTGACCTATATGTATACTTGACCCAGTTTTGTAAGAAGTTAGTCGTGTCCTGAATACCTCTGTGCCACTAGATTTTACTAAGTTTCTGAGTGGTAAATCTTAGTATATGAGAAAAATGAATAGTTATTCAGTATAATCAATGCAGTTCCCAAAGGGGATGCTTTGGGCTTCCTGCTAATTGAAAAGAGGATTTTCAAAAAATCCACTTCAACTTAATTATGATTTGATAAAGTTTATATATCTTACTTAAGTAAAAAATTGTATGTATTCTATTATCTTTGTTGGTTTTTTAGTAAAGCTATTATTGGATATGGTTTAGAAGAACAAGATAAAAAACATACATGGTTGTCGGATGCAGAGAATTGTGCTACTAGCGGTGCAATAGAATGTGCTCGTGCTATTTATGCTGTAGCATTGGCTCATTTTCCTACAAAGAAAAGTATCTGGCTACGTGCTGCTTATTTTGAACGAAATCATGGAACAAGGTAGATAGTCTCTAATATTACTAATTAAATTATTTTATTTTATGTAAATAATATTTTTTTCTCAAGGTAAGTGAGCTAATGCGATTAATTTCGTCAGAATAAACTTCAGTACCAGCTAGGTATTACATGCTAAAGAGTATTTTTTGGATTAGTTGTACTACCATTGTAAATGCGCAGGCAAACTGGAATAAAGTCAGAAGATTGTGTTAGCTTCTCAAAATATGGAGTTATATATGTGTGCGGTCCGCCATTAAATAAAATATAGTTTCAGCTACAAAGTACATTCGTAATGATGATGCTAATAAAGGGTAGTCTACATTAAATACAAGTATGAACACATGACCGAATAAATAATAATTGCATCACTCAATAAAGAGAGATTTTAGTTAACCAATAAAATAACAGCAAGGAAATAGTGCAGTAAATTATACTCGCTTATGGGTTGTCAGCTCGAAGAATTCCTTACAGTTATCAGATACAGCTGCTACTCTCAACTTAACAGATTAGCAACTTCCGATGACTCATGTTTGTCTAAATATCGTGGATTTATACATACCCTGCTACTTCAAAATGTTGTTGCTTATGTGGAACACTTTCGGAATCATGGTTTGATAGCTTTTCTTAATGGAATTTCCTTATTCTTCAGTTCGATTTAAATATCCACTGTTAACCTCTTGTTTTTGTCGAAACTCTTTCGTCTGACAAAAGTGATGACTAAAACACAACAATCAGCAGCCAAGTTTAGTATACATATATGTGCTTAGTTATTGAGTCATGTTTTTAGTTGGTTTGCTATTATTATTATTATTATTATTATTATTATAAGTAGTAGTAGTAGTTATCGTTAGTGTTTTTTCCTATCTACTGCACAAATTTTTTGCTATATCTCTAATTATAAAACAGAGAAACTTTAGAAGAACTTTTGCGTCAAGCTGTTAGTCATTGTCCTCAAGCGGAAGTGCTTTGGCTTATGGCAGCAAAGACACGTTGGCTTGCTGTAAGTATATTTATTAACAAGTTAATAAAAAGATATCCTTTGCACTATCGTTTCGTTATTATGGGTAACTTATACAAAACTGATACGTAAAATAAAACTACTGATTGGATTTCATTGGTAATACCACATCTTCCTTACTACGTAGTGTGTGATGATTTTGAACATGCTTTATCGCCTGTTAAAATTATATAGACTGCATATTCCACGTAACATGAAAAAGAATGTTATCTGTAATGTAACTGACGTATATTTGGCATGATATCATTTTTCTATTTCTTGACTTTTAATAAGTGATCCGAAATTCGTCTAAATTTAGTTTGATGCGTGAGTTTGTTCCAGTTTAGTGTTATTTAACTTTTTTAGACAAATGAAACAATCATAGTTAAAAAGCAGAATTAATGCACATACATACTTGATCAGTTGGTTCGAAAGGACCTTAATTCTATCAGAAAATGTCGAGACCTATATTTTGGAGATTGTAATTTACCACAATCGTACATCACAATATCTTTAGTTTTTCGACTTTTAGTGTTTAAATGAATAAACAAGAATAGTATGTTTGTAAGGGTCGTTTAAACTGTCCCGTCGTTAATGTTAAGGTCTAGAGTCGATCATTTCCTCTTTGGCATATATCCATTCTGTGAGGATTGCCTCGACATTATCCTTATTGGTTTTCTGTATAGTAACTTTTCGCCTAGCCTAGTCCGTTCAGTACAGAATACAAATATCGGCTTCCGCTGTATGAATCATGTATTTCAGACACACGTGGTTTATATACAAGCAGACCAGACTGTATCACACCGTAAAATGAAAAATAATAATTATACAAGATCAAGCCTGTTATATCCTAGTGAAGACATAAGTACAGGTAACTTCTGGGACTTATTCATGGACGATTATTCTATATATATTCTTATTGTTTAAAGATTGAGTAATCAGATTTTGTATATCTATATCCATCTTATTATAAGCTTCATTTTGACCTATGGATCATTATTATACGATTTACTGTTCCCAAATTACACTCAGTTTATTGATCACTGTCTCCCACGTTCACAGCCATATTTTGGCTTGATCTTGTACAAATATTATTTTCTATTTTATGGTGTGATTCGGTCTGTCTGTCTGGTATATAAACCGAGTATGCTTGAAATAAATGATTCGCATAGCAGAAGCTGTAATTGGTGTTTTGCACTCAACTGGAAGGGCTAGGCGGACAAAGAACCAATAAGGACGCCAGGCTGCTCATACCGGTCGAACGTCTTTGTTTTGGCAGTACTAAGATTGGATAAGTCGTATTTCGATTGGCGAATAAATCACGTGATAAAAGCCGGACATAAAATCAACAAAGCCAAAAGTGTCTGTGAGTACGGGATACTGTAACTAATAAATTGGGAATAAGTTTAGAATTGTAAATCGTATAACGGTAGCCAATAAACCAAATGAAAGCTTACAATAAAGAGAATACGAATATATATATATATATATATATATAATCTAGTCACTTAATAATTATTCAATAAATATATGTAATAATAGTCCATAAATAAGTCCTAGCAGTTACTATTCATCTATAAATATTGGTGTCGATAAATGATTCTGGACTTGGAAACACCTTGAAAGACATTCGTATAACATGTCTAGTTCAGTGTTTCACAATTGCATTGTGAGTTAAATTATCACCAGTAACCGCGAATACATATTGTCGAACCACACTATTGCTTACACAGTGTTTCTATGGCATATGAACAGTTATTAAAACAGAACACTGATTGAACACAAGAATACTTGTACCAGTACTTTGTATATTCGACTTTTCCAGATGGGCTAACGTTAATATGTTGCCAAAAGACAATCCATATTAATACAGTTCTTACGAGCAATTGAAAACATATGTTGTTTTATTTAAAGACTGGTCCTTAATACACTGTTAGAGTCAACTAAGACGGAATGAATGTTCTCTTTACATTTTCCTGTAATTTTGTTGTCCGACCAAATTAAGCTAGAACCCGTTATTAGACATTTTCTAAAATGTATCCATGCAATGATTTATGTTTTTTAATCCTCCACTTAATCAAATTGTTTTATCTGTTTATGTCATAGGGTGATGTTCCAGCAGCTCGTTCTATTCTAGCTCGTGCATTTGAAGCTAATCCCAATTCAGAGGAGATATGGTTAGCTGCTGTAAAACTTGAATCAGAAAATAAAGAATATGCACGTGCACGTCGTTTACTAGATAAGGCTTGTGCTTCTGCTTCTACAGCTCGTGTATGGATGAAAGCAGCTAGATTGGAATGGTGTCTAGGTGAATTAAATAAAGCTTTAGAAATGTTACAAAAAGCTACATTAACATATAATCAGGCACCAAAGTTGTGGTTAATGCTTAGTCAAGTTTATGAACAGTTGTCAGAAGAAAACTTAAAACCGAAGGAGGCTGAATCATTAAAAGAACGTGCTAGAAACACCTATCGTGAAGGAGTAAGTACTGGTTTCGTTTAATGTTTGTGCGTCACTGTGTATTTACTACTTTAAAAATAGTTTCGTGTAAAATTACGTTTCTGTTTTTCATCGAAAGCTCCTGTACAAGGTTCCTTTCGCAAACATATACCACAAACGTTGTTGGAATTCCATTCCATGCAGCATCATAAATTTGTTATTTTTAAATCCTCTGTTCTAATTGAATTCATCGATAATCAAGATCTAAGACATTAAATGGGTAATCTAGTTCGTGTCTTATCGTGAATTCTATCTTAGAATAAGATTTGTCGAAAAATTCCGATAGATGAAATGCATATGAGCATCACCTACATATCTAGCATAGGATTTTGTTTCCTCTAATAAATGCTTCACTTTACATCCCTTCATAATGGATCACCTGTAAAATTGTCACTTGGAGTCAGTTCCGAATGCCCAAATGCCCTGCTACTCTCGAGGGTGAGGAGAGTCCACTCTCCTCGAAATTCTCTCACATGGTCACGCGTATACAGCCACTACCATGGAAGTCCTACTCACCGCCTTCTCGCGGAGAGGGTGTTGTTTACAAAATTGAGAGGACAAAAAGCGAATGTGCTGCGCTTTAACCGGGTTGGTTGACACGGAGAGCCTACCTAGGGGAGTTGGAAAACCCAAATTCCAAACCAATGGTGCACAGGGGCTCCAGGATGCTGAGAGAACAAATGGCGTACGAACCAATTGTTAGTCACCGGCTACCACGGGACTGCATCTCCTAACGTTGCTCCATTGTCTTGTGGACCAGACCTTTAGGTCGAAGGCTCGTGGTGTGGCCCCCTACGAAAACCACCTGCTTCAGTCTGGGCACCCTGGCAGCATCACGGCCCACACACAAATCAAGTGGCTTGTGTGGTGTATATATATTTGGTGCCCCTTTGTACTAATATTTTTGTGTTGAAATAAATAATATCATTTCCAAGCATCTGTCCACGGCATGTTAATTAACTCAAGAATGTGAAAAGTGTCGCACTCAAGCCTTTCATGTTTCCACAAAAGCACTGCCTTATTTTTAGGCAGTTTTGAGACAGTTTTAATAATTTCCTCTAAATGAAGATTATGTATCAAGGCGATATCGTAAACTATTTCCTTCATCAATGAGGCAATTTGGGAACTGATAAATTGATCACAAATTTAATTGATTATTTCGAAACTATTCGTTAGGATATGGAAATTAACTTAACACAATTCATGTGATTATAATTTTAGCCTACATGCTAAATTTCATATTCATTGTTTTAAACTACTTTATATTTCAAATCTACTTCAAGTGAACAAACAACATGCTTCATTACTACTTCTGACAACGTTCTAATGCTTATTATCCATTCATGATTAGGTTCGTTAAATATTTGTTTGTTCCCTTTCCTATAAATGATATCTCATAATGTTAAAAGATAACATAAGATAACAAAAGTTTCTTTTGGTGAAAGCAAAATTGTTAAAATCCGAACAACTTTATTGTATACTTCTATCTGTTATTGCAAACATGTTTCTATACTATAAGAACTATTGTACTGTGTTATGATAACTGCTATTTCAAACATTTTTAACATTTTCACGTATTTTTCATGAAAAGCTGAATCATAACCCACATTATACTGCTCTGTGGTTGCAATTGGCCAGATTTGAAGAACGACAATGTAATTTAACTAAAGCACGTTCCATTTTGGAGAAGGCCCGTTCACAAAATCCTAAAACACCAGAATTATGGTAAGTAATATTCAATGAACACATCGAAAATAATGCTCACAATAATTACGGCATGTTTAATTATTTTTACAAACGATATTTATCTGAAAATTCGATTACATTTATGACTCAGTTCACTTGATAGACAACTTACGACCATTTGCTCTCAAGTTCGAAGCCTACTCTACCCAGTCAGATTTAGGTAATTAAGTAATACCTCTAATTATTACATAACGTGGAGTTGTGCCCCCTAAACATAATACTCTATTATATATTTTTTTGTTGAATTACATTATAAAAAGACTATTCACTTAACTTTTCAATGCATCTAGGCCCAAACTTTGATAGAACTGACTTCTTTTTTTAAAATCTGGTTGTATGATCATATATTTATTTATTTACTGTCAGACAGTATTAATTTTCCTAAAAGTGATCTGAATTACGGTCCCTACCTTCATGCATCCGAAAGAGGTACATAAGAATTATCTTACGACATGAAGGTACAAATTTGTAGATAAAAAACACAAATTAAACAGAAAAGTTTTTCTTACGTGACCAACACTGAACAGATTAGGTCACTAGTGTAGATGATGTGTCAATCGATTGACGGCCAGCTAACGTCACGGTTAGTACTTCGTCTGCTTTGATGACTGTTCAACACAAACGACGTTATTACAGAGATATATAAGTAAGAGTAGGTACATGGAAGGAAGTGCAACCACCACCTCATCGGCCAGTCCATGACGTGCGATTAGCTGATGCACTTTGGTTGATCTTGACCTTGACGAGGATCGGTGATCTATTAGACATTCAGTGACCTAACTACCGTAACGATTTGGCTAGGATTCAGTGATATTTCACTGGTCCTACAATGTAAACAGTATACAATCGTCCCAACAACATTTTCACATACTGATAGACAGAAATACTGTACAACGACAGTGTTTTTTTAATGTAACACACAAATACCACAACCAAAAAACACGAAAACTATTATAATACTAAACTGGCAATCATCTTTTTTAATGAACACCCGGATTTTAGGTGACAAACATCGCTATAAGGTGTACTAAATTAATTAAATTTAAATAAGTTAAGGATTTATCTACATATAAACTGTAGAATCCAAGTTTTACGGTAGTATTTCATGTCACTAATTGTTAGTTTTTCCTGAATTTCTAGTCTGTCAGCATTTGAATTATTGAGATAGTGAAGATTTGCAGCTCAAGCGAACAATTTTTGCAGTTTCTCTGAGCTGGATCCAGCCGAGAAACGAAACAATCAGAAATCAAATTATTTCAGTAACATTCGTTTAGAAAATGCTAATTAGTTGAATTCGTAATTAGATACCTTTTTGGTTACGAAAACCACTTCAATTTGGATTATGGGGATTCTTTGACAGGTTTTTGAGCTGGACGGTATTTAGGCTCTTTTTTACTTTTTCAGTAATTCGTTAATGAAAATCACTCCTCCATAAAAACTCGAATCATGCTGCTCAGTTGAATTTGTTGACATCTTTCTTAATACCGTATTAGACTGTTCACTAGTTATGTAATGCTCGAAATATTTTTGATTTTATTAGGTTGGAGGCTATCAGATTAGAAGTAAGAGCTAATTTGAAACCTGTAGCTGATTCACTTCTTTCAAAAGCACTTCAAGAATGCCCAACATCCGGTTGTTTATGGGCTGAGGCAATATTTATGACTCCTAGAGCTCAACGTAAAAGCAAATCAGTGGACGCTTTAAAGAAATGTGAACATGACCCACTGGTACTTCTAGCTGTATCCAAGTTAGTTTCTGTACTAAAAGGTTTTCATACTACTTGTAGCTCTAGAGTAGTTTAGTTCCTGTCTTTTTATCAATGGTGTTGGTGTTCGTGATATCCTGATAATTATTGTCTTCTACTATTCTGCAAAGTATTTTAGTGTCTGTGACAAACTAACTATAATGGAACTCAAATACTTTCATTAACAGTTCTTATATCACTAGGGCATAATGCGAAAACTTGTCTGGAATTTTCCATTGTGTAAATACGGTATTGTATGTGGAAATCATACAGTTTGTTCGGTGGAATGAATCAGAATTAAATTGTGAAGTTAATTTCCTCTCGTTGCTGTGGCCTGATTATATCACACCTTTGATTTGAAATCTTAGTATTACTACAGTACTTATTGCATATCGCGCATTTTAATTTATTTTCTCTATTAAATCACACAGTTTCAAGCCCAAATGTATTCTCACTCCCAGCCACAGTTTTAATTTCTACCTAACATTGTTATTCCTCTTCTAAGTAGTCTTTCTCTAAATCTGCCACACTAAAATGCACATTAAGGACTTATTATTTGTTTTTAGTTACTGTGTTTTTGTATACTAAAAAGCTGAACTTCAATGTATTACTTTTTCTCTAACTGTACGGAACATGTTGAGGATAGATTGTATTCTCCATGAAATTTTACATTTCTCTTTTGGGTAGTATGATTAAGCTGTATTGATAATTGATAACGCGACCTTATCATAATGATATGTTATCAGCTTGATCTCATCATTGTCAAGTTTACAAAACAGTCAGCATTTGAATTATTGAGATAGTGAAGATTTGCAGCTCAAGCGAACAATTTTTGCAGTTTCTCTGAGCTGGATCCAGCCGAGAAACGAAACAATCAGAAATCAAATTACTAACTTTCATAGTACTCAAAGATTTTTCGTACATAAATAATATGTAAATATGATTGGAACACATAAGGTGTTAGTGCTTTTTAGTAACCAGTAATGTAATCATAAAAAGTACATTTTGAATAACATTTGACAATCCCATTTTATTTTGCATTACTTGCATTAGGTAAGAAAAACATATTATCCTCAGTTCTGACTTCTGTCTGTCTCCGTTGAATGACCTTAGGTGTTTTAACTGTTTCAACTCGTCTCTAAGTACTAGAATATCACTTATCCTGAAACTCCTTACTTAACGTTCTATCTGATGATGTAAGGGCATGTGTAAGTATAACTTAAAAATAAAGGTAGATAACACTCTCGTTCATAGATCAATGGAGGCTGTCCACAACATGCTATCGGTTTTAAAGAACTGGTTATTTATTTGTTTATACACATAAATATTGGTAGAAGGGGGCACCAGATATATATGCGCCACACAATAAATGGAATGTTGCTGCCAGGATTCCATTTATTACTGGTTGAAACCTAAAACTCACAGAATATGGTGATGTGGAAATTAACGTTCTCATTGAATGTATGTCAGATGAAATATAGTAATAATTTTATTGTGTCCGCTTCATCAAATATATTTCAACTAATTACGTACTAAAATCATGTGGTTGTATATATGAATGTTCTTTCCCGGAAATGGCATAAGACCCATTACATTCGATAATCATCTACCATATATACTGATCGTTTTCTGTTTAGTATAGACTCCGATCTAAAACAATCGTATAATTAACATGGCTTGGCTTTTAGTTTCATAATAGAACATTACCGCATTTCATAATTTACCAGTGAATTCAAGTTACTAAGTTAAGTCCTTCATATAGATGATCAAGGTATCATGGGATATTGAAAGCCTAACGGTTCCTAGCTATTCTGAAATGTTTTGACTCATAGGGTAGTCCAGAAACGTTTAGAAATCAAGCTTATTATTAGTTTGAAGTTAAACTGTTTACTCGCTTGACTTAAAACCTTGAGCAACACTTCAGTGGAATTCGAAATCCGGCGGTATATTGACGTTTATGTACACAAATCTCTTGAAAACAAAAACTAATTATTTCAATTGGTAGTTGTTCCATTTTTATGGGAGGAAACTTTATTTAACCTGTCATATTCACACTGATAATAGTAGTTTCCAGTCTGATAACCATATCGTAGTTAAAACTCAGAGGAAAACAAGCACACTTAATGATTGTACAAAGAAAAGCAGTTGAAGAGGTGATCAAAACTAATGGTTGTAACCGGATGGCTTGCCTCTCTATCAAAATTATTTTTAGATGAACATGGTCTTATTGAAACAGTATGTCAATAATTCATAAATTTCCATCGATATTTAGCCCCATTACAAACTTAGTTTTTCTTCTAAGGATTGTTATACTCTGCTATTTTAGAATGTTTTGGTGTGAACGACTGGTCATGAAAGCTCGTAATTGGTTTACAAGAACGGTGAAACTAGAACCAGATCTTGGCGATGCATGGGCTTACTTTTACAAATTTGAATTACAACACGGGACGGAAGTGAGTTCATAAAGTATTTTTATATTTCATTAGTACTGTCTCATAAATAGACTTACATAAACAATGAAATAGATTAAATGCTTAGTAATTGAAATACTCAGCTTTAAGAATTAAGTTTTAGGTTGAAATCCTACATCATCTTCCTCCTGATAGTATCACGATACCTCAGGCGAAAGGTATAACTCAAAGCTGAGTAGATGAATTTGGACTGTGTTAGAATTACACTACACTTAATTAGTTTTGGATTTCGTGTTTACAAACAGATTGTCACTAATCATGTCAACTTGTGTATTTGTCGCAAGATATCAAAACGACTGATAAACTTAAAGGCTGAATTATACATCGATGCATTAACTTTTTCTGTCAGTCAACATGATAAGTTCAGCCTGGACGCCAAGTATAGCTTAGAGTATAGGATTTGATTATGTACATAATTAATGTTTCATAGTTGACACAGTATCAATAACTTCAGGATTTTATCTTAATTTCATTTTATTTAGGATCAACAGAAAGAAGTATACCGACGTTGTGTTACTGCCGAACCTCATCATGGTGAAGTATGGTGCCAAATCAGTAAAGATCCTAAAAACTGGCGATTAAAAACAAAAGATTTATTAAAAATCGCAGCAGAAACAATTGTTTTACCAAATTGAATTTGTGTGCTTCGCTCCTATATTTGTATAATTCTCGCAAACAAAAGAAAACTGCAGCGTATGTTGTGTATTGTAAAAGTCAATAATTATTACCAGCCAACTTTTGGCATTCATTACGCGTAAAGGACAACTCATTTTTCGTTTTACACATCGTGTTTAATTTAATAAAAAGCTAAAGATTTATTTAATTTCTTCTGCTTAATCGAACATACATAGTTTTATAATTGTTTTCAGTGATGTCAGTCAGAAATGCATTGGAGGCAGTTTCTTCACTCCACTTGTTTTACTTCCCAGACCATATTTAGAATTAAATGTTCGATTTCTGCGTAAAGAGAAATTAATTGTCAACGGTTAATTAGATGTGTTTCAAAACGTTACGAAATCACAATGCAACTGAATTCCGATTACACAAAATATATTATTGTGTGCAAAGTAACTTGTAATCATACATATATATGGCTAGATAGTTGCGATACTTAACTTCCATTCACTGTTTTGCACGTTCTAACACTTTACATAACCTTTGATTGGATGACAAAATGGTAGTATCATATTCGTAAGCACAGTATATATATATATATATATATATATATATGGTTGCAGTTTTATTCTATGTGGTGGTTAACAGTTACATATATAACCCAACCTAGTCCATGAGGGTTGACCGCATCGCATATCTATTTAAAATTCTTAATAAACATTCCAAATTATCCTATTTCCACCAGCTCATCAGGTGTATCTCATTCGAACGATGTCATAAAAGTCAAGGTTGTGTAACGAGAGCATACGTTATTGGTACTGCTCCATCCGGTGATTAATGCTGTTTTCATTTATTTATCTATTTAAAGACATAAATATTGGTACAAGGAAGCACCAGGTAAGTATGCGCCACACAAATCTCATTTGATTTGTGTGAGTGTTGTGATGTTGCCCAGGTACCCAAACTGAAGCAGGTGGTTATTTTAGGAGGCCACACCCGGAGCCTTTGATCTAAAGGTCTGATCCACAAGGCAGTGGAACATCGTGAGGAGATGCAGTCCCATGGTAGCCGGTGACCAACAGTTGGTTCATACGCCATTTGTTCCCTCAGGATACTGGAGCCTATGTGCACCATTGGTTTGCAATCAGGGTTTTCCAACTCCCCTAGGTGGACTTTCCGTGTCCACCAACCCGGTCAAAGTGCCGGACATTCGCTTTTCGACCTCTCACTTTCGTGAACAACACCCACGCCATGAGAAGGCAGTGAGTAGGACTTCCCTGGTAGAGGCTATATACGCGTGGCCATGTGAGAGCATTTCGAGAGGGAGAGCGGATTCTCCCCACTCTTGACCGTACCAGGGCATTTGGAGGCTTTCATTTATACTCTCATAAATAAGTTTAACTGTGGAAGTCGTTGGAGCTCTCAATACGTACATTCGCTCCACTATTTACTCTTGTGGGCATCTAAATACTTCGGTTATAAAGGGAAAGCGTAGTATTTCTTCCTACTTATCACAGGAATAAAGTGAGTGAAAATGCATTCTTCGATGTATTTAGTTTCCACTTGTTACTTGCATAGACTGTTGACACAGGTAACTATATCATCATCTAGCAGTCTTATTTTAATTGATACAATATTTCATAATCTTTGATAATGTCGATACTAGTCTTGGATTTACTACGTTATTGTTTTAGACCTGAAACGCCAAGTTTTGGTGAGCTATTTTCTCAGAAATAAACCAACTCTTGGGGTTGATACGTACTGCTACGCAAGAGAAGATAAGTATAGGAAATCTCGTAAATCTTTGCACAATCATTCATTGACTGGAATTACTTCACTTTATGACAGTGTACAGAAATTCAGCAAATTGAGAGAAATAAGTTGGAGAAAATGACACGAGTTAACGTAGGAAATCAGTTACTACGAATTAAACGCTTCACAATCTATGTGAAGTAACGGAATGAGTGAACCTGACTAGTTTTGAGGAATTTTTAGTTATTCCTTCCAGTGTCTCTGAGCAACGATCTCTAAATCTTTTATTGGGGGGGGGGCTTGAGTTGAGTGTTTTACATTCATTTATACTTGAAATTTAAGATCTGCTGAAAGTCTTTAGCGGAAGTTAAAACACTCAGAATGCGTTTCCCATTTACATAATCCAAGATAGTGTTACTGATGATTTAATATGTTTTATTCAGCATTAGTAATTATTGACTTTGTATTAGTCGTTATGCGTGCTCTGTGTGGACGTGAGACATCCAGTAGGTTCAACGTAACCTTATTACGTAACAATCCGAGACTAGTTCAATCATTTCATGCTTCTATGGGGTTCGTAGTTTATTGATCCTCAATGATATAATACACTTGAGTGCAGTTGCCACTGACAATAGCAGTGTGTGAAAAGTTAGTATGAAAATAGTCCTCTGTTGTCTTCACTGGTTTGGAGATATGTAAAAACCAAATTCGCCAACCAAATAATTTTATGTTATAGCCAGAGTTTCCCCGTACGAGATTTAAGCTTTGGATGATACTGTATAAAAGAAGCGTTGACGCTTATTTGTCAGTGATGTTCCAAATTATGTTAATGAGATTTTGAGGAAACTAGGTTATCTGTCTTTTGAATTTTGGCTTCCAAATTCCATGAAACCTCATTAAAAGTCAACATTTGAACACAATAGTAATACTTTTTAAGAAAACACAAATAAGTTTCTCAAGTGATCTACTAATGTTAATCACATCCAGGTTATGTTGATACGAAATGTTTTATTCGAGATAGGCTTCTGGTAATATTTCACTCACAAATATCAGTTCATTGAATGATAAATTCCAAGAATATCATATTTTTACAGAAACAGAAAAAACACTGTGAAATCTATATCATGTCCCCGTAATCTTAGCACAAACTAAACCTACTGTGTCTTCCTCACTAGTTTATCACTTTCATCTTCTTTCTTCTCCACAGGATGCTTACTAACTGGTGCTGGTATATATGTATAGTTTAATTCAATGAGTGCGCGTTTTCGAATTTCTGTAGCCCAGTAATAAGCCTAAAATACGTTAGCAAATCAAACTCTATTGTTGTTATGCATCCGTAATACGGAATTTATAGTAGAAATTAAGTAAATTTAAATTACCTTTGGAAATTATGTCATCATAAGTTTCCTGGAGATGACTTTAGGAAATTTGTTTAGTTAGGAGTTTCTTCTTTGTTTCCATGGGCTTTAATACTTGGAAATCAATATATTTCAGTCCTATTTATTTGTCTGACTACATACTTCCTACAGTCAGAAAATAGTAGTATTCGTTCCCTCACAATAATATTGAGTTCGTCCTTCGCTGCTTAGTATACCCTTATTATTCAAAATATTTGTTAAATGTTGACACTGTAGTTCACTATCACCGATTTAACATTTGATAGGAGAATATTTGTAGTAGTCGGTAGGTTTGTGGGTGTGTTCATTTCATTCCTTAAATGAGTAATGACGTGGATATTTTTGATCTGGAATTCGAAAAACTTGATAAAATTCTACATGGACGTCTTTTGTTTTTTTTACGCTAAAGAAATATGTCAAACACATAGCGACAGCCAGTCACTGAGTCTTGGTACGATTCTGTGAAATTACATTGTCTCCTAGGTTATAGATCCTGTCCCTCAATTATCTACCACTTCCTTTGTCATCAATTTTATATCATTTCCTCATTGTGATAAAGGTGTTTATATGTGAGTCGTGTATTGACTCTATTTTTTAGTCATCCATACCATGTTTACATTGGTAGGAATGTTTCTATGCTGAACGTTTGGTGCACAAACAGAAAACATAGCACCTTTTGGTCTTCTTTTTGGTATTACTTACTAAGAATACTTTACAATTTTCAGTCCAGCGACTCTGTATAAGTAAAATGCAGAAAATTAGACTCCAATTGGCTATTTCAGGGTCACTCAAACTACTCCCGAGTGGTAACAGGAGTTTGCAGCATCGCGGGTTGTTGTTATTCACTGATTAATGTAAGTCGAACCTAAATCACTCTATTTTATGAGATAAATATAAGGGATATCATGGTGTAATGGCAGTTTGTAACGATACTCAGTAGGATTCATCTAATAATTGTTTCTCGACAAGGATTGGTTTCTGTACTTTCTTACTCAAAGGTGAAAAAATATGTGAGGAGGCAAATAGATTATTAGAAATACACCATCTTCTGATTTCAGAGCTCATGTAAAGTAAACACATTTTTCCATATTTCGGTCAGTACACTCCATATGGCTGTGGAATCTGCGATTCAACTTGGTGCGGTTGACGATCTCTTGAAACGTGTATCAGAACCTCTTCGTTCACCTGTCTTATCTCATCTATGAAATATGTAAGATGTCCATCTCGCAATCAAGTTTCTTTTACAAGTATGAGCTATAACCATGAGGTCACTTTCGGTTGTCTTCTGTCTTCCGTGACGGTTGAATTTCATACTTCCTGTATGAGTGTGGGTGCATACAGCCAAAACACAGTGTTGTTGGACAATTGTACCATTTAGAAATCATAGGACATTTATATGACGAGCGCGAGAGAAAGATACCAGATACGACATACCGTATTGATGGAAGCCTTATGGTAGAGAAACGATAGTGTAGTTTGAAAAAAATAGTACACTACTTAATTGTTCTGCAATGATTAAGTGCTGCTTTTCTTCTTTATCAACAGATTCACGTTCCAGATCTATGTATTTACTCGGAACACATTTGATGATTAATACGGACGTGTAAGGTTCACATAACAGGATACTCAGACCAAGCAAGTAGAAGCTAAATATATTACCTTGATCGCCTTGGGTGATTAATTCTAGTAAACCTTTATATGGTTATCTAATTCCATTGCCCTGTTGATCTATATATGTTTGAGATGCGTTGAATAATTGACTTTCTGAATAGTTCGAACTCGTTTCAGTACAGTGCAGATTAGACCTGCCTAATACAATCCTGAACTCATTTTATTGTAATCCAACTGCTATGTATTCTATTACTAGGGTTATTTCCACTTTACTACAATTCCTAGCGATCCTAATCCTAAAATGGATATAATCTCAGTACAATTACTGAGAATTCTGATTCTGGCACTAGTCCAGTGCTATGGTTACTTAAATCTATTTGTGTCCACTCAATTCTACCCTACTTTGTTTCTGTTTATTACTATTGTACATGTTAGTTGATTCAACCCCTTAAATTTACATTCAGAAACATTGGTATTGGGGTTTTATTTAACTGATTTGTCACCGATCGTTGATTTAAAGACAACGAACGCTAAATTATTGCAGTGCTTATTAAATTTCGAATTAAAGAAACAATGTTCAAGCTATTGATAAACAGGTAAAACCATTGTTTTCCAAACTGTTGAAAATTGTGTAAACACAACATGATCCAGACCAGCGGGAATCACATTAGTTTACTCCAACTCAGTTATTGTAGCATCCATCGTAGCAACCTTACGATTACTTCTTTCAAAATTGCATTTAAAATAAGTAAGAACCATTTTTAGCTCAGACAACTCAAGTCAAACTCAGAAAGACCCCTTGATAAGTAAACGGATGAAAAGCAGTCACAAAGTGCGAGTTCCTTACTCTTTTTATTGTCATTGACGGAATAAATATGCCTTTGAAGTGAATAAAAAAGAACCGCTAGTAAAGTATTTAGAGACATTTCAATTTGATACTTTTGCATGAGAATACTCACCTTTCCTTCTTGATCGATCCTCGATTCTAGCTCGCGACATAATTTAATTATATATGTACGATAATCCTCAAGTTCTTGAACCGAATCTTCGTCAAGGTCCATGTAGCTAGATAATTTTGAGCCCCTTCTAACAGCACGGTTTACTTCAAAATTTAAGTGACATAGACATAAAGCAATAAGCATACTTGTCCGTTGAAGTGCTTTTGCCTTCGGTATTTGCTGATCGCAGAAGAAGAATGCTTTTTTGTAGTAGTCGTTCATTTCTTTCTGAATTAAATATCTCGTCTTCCATTCATTATCTAAACGGACTTGGGATAATCTTCTTGATTACCTTCATCTTCAATTGAAGCCAGCTGATCCTCTAAAATGTCGATGGATTCTTCTAATTTGCAGTTTGTCTGTCTGAGAAGATTTCTAAAACGTGACTTTTCAAAAACGAATGTTACAAGCTTATTTTCTCTTGTTCTATTTGATCTGAAAGTGTCAGTTTGTCCACAGTATTAATTATTTCGAGGCTCATTTGAACAAATTTTAAAGTCTGCACGGTAGAATTACAGCAAACAGTCAGTAATAGGTTTGTTTATAGTGTGCAAACACGATATTTAGGTGTTAGTTCACTTTATTAGCACAATTAACTAGAGGAATTAAACCAAGCTACGAAAAGACTACTGAGTAACAACATATCATCTACTTACAGTTTTTAACTACAATTACTATAAGATTCACTAGTAATATCAAAATCCAAGAATAGAATAACCACAACGTTTATCCTTTGGTAGGTTTGAAGGCAGTTACTGTGTTGCTGCTTCAATTAACACTCCTCGTTGCTATGATAAAGTTGAACTAAACAAGTGAAATGCAACGTGGACATGAAATAATCTGGAAATTCGATGCTCTTAAGATTTGTCGCAGTACAGTTTGCCATGAAGCTGGGAGTCTTTCGATGAACAACAATAGGACAAAAACTACAATCGACTTGATACGGATGATATGCCTTATAAGTCGCCCTCAGGTATTGACATAAATTCTATATCCAATTCTTTGGGATGAGCTTATATGAACCGACTGATTGATCTGCGCTCGTTTCTTGTCGTCTCGGTACGGGTCCAGGCCTTTGTTAAAGTCCATTGGGCAGTAGTCTACCCACTCGGCTGCGCTAATTCTAGTCAGTTTGGTTGTTATCTGTGTGTTCTGACCACTGCTGATACCTTGATGCTATAGTCGGGCTTGACTATCCTGATGGTTCAGCCGAGCTATTTTGGCTGGAACGCACTTTTCATTAGGTTTTTCTTTGCTTGGTTGATCGGTTTGAGAATGGTCTTACAGTGAAATCGTCTTGCCGACTATATAGGGATGTGACATCAGTAAGGTGTTTCACGTTAAAGATGACTGCATCACGGTCACTACTTCCTATTGTCTCATAATTATGGATATTCTTAACTATAGACTGGTCATTTTTTGGCAAATAATTTAATCTTGAAAGTTTTCTGACTCTATTCCACTCGTGGTGCCACCAATATATTCGATCAGTCCACAAATTCTAATGGCTGTTTCAAGCCGCTCATGGAACCATCCCTAGTGGTTGTATCCTGTTTGTTGAGATTAGGAGGTATAGTTTTGAGGTCCATAGCTGGTAGTTTGGGTTTCATCCGTGTTACCCCATCTTTTCGGTATTCAGAACCTATGTAGTGCCGGTGTAATTTTACAACCAAATATTCCCTGCCATTCAAGCAGAAGCAACAACAGTATGATTGTATCATTCCAGTTAATGTGGTACCATGTTATGTAAGGGCTTTGATCTGGGTGTCATTGTATGTCACCTGTCCAACTCCAGTTTTGTGTACCTTATCACATAAGAAAAATGTCTTTCCTTGGATGTTCATTTCTTCATCCATAATGTCAGGGTAGATCTGTGTCATTTAGGACTTTGATCTTGAGATCCAAATGGAAGCACACGTTCCTGATGTTTTCTGACTGACCTATTAGTCCTCTTACGTTGTTCAAGACAATCTCGACAGTTTGTCACACAACCTGGTGCTCCTCTATGGTAGCATATTTCCTCTGGTTTTTATACTAGTTGATGTTCACAGTGGATTTGTCATTTTTGTGAGAAATGGTCGTCGTGGGATTTTTTTACATGTGAAGTGTGTCTCATTAGCGGGACCTTGGTAATTGTGTTCGGTACCATCTGTTGATGATCGGAACCAACTGGCACTAAAGTGTGTTTTATTCAGCCCTTCTGATGCTCACTTACCTATAAGGTTCGACTTTCATAACACCTAATGTGACTGAAAAAGTCATCCTTCGAGTTCTACAGGGCTTGAAGAACCTCAGTCTGGTTCTCTCGGTTTCTGACGTTAACAGCAATCAGACGTGGAGACAATGACTGTAAGTTTTGATGGACGAGGATTGTGGAATATGTTAATTACCATAGTGGCTTGGGGGTCTATCTACATACAATCCGACGCCAATGCTGCATATCGTGTTTGTAGGCTTTATCCTGACTACCAACTCTTAGCTCAGCTACTATGTGAATCACCATAATGGTTGGTTCTTTGATGTTGCTGATCTTCTGGCGGCATCTCTAAAACCCCATAGTTTATCATGTCTAACTAGGACTTGAGAGGATTTCTTAATCTACGGTCTCTGGAATTTCAGTAACGGGAGATCAATCTAAATCTACGCCTGACAGATGGTGGTGCCCAGTGATGAAGTTCAGTAAGACTGTCTGAGACCTCGAGGTATCTAGTTGGAGTCATCTAAATGAAGCCCACTGAGGACACCGAGTACGACAATTGTGTTCTGCAAAGATTATCCCTCCATACTTATCTCGGATAGGTCACTGCAGCGGGTGGATCGCGAAGTTCCCCACACTTTGATGTGGACTCCAATTAGGACTTCTTACTGCCCACGATCTCATGTACCACAAAAAACTGTTACACAAATTTCCCCCAAAAGTTACAATCAACATAGTCATAAGGAATCGCCCTCATCGAGTGCAAAGACGCAAATGGTACTACTGGGCGTAATACAAAAGAACAAGTAACAATAACACGTTTAGGAAGTTCAAACAAGCAAGGAATGACCACAAAAAGGCGATGAGAGATTAGTTTAGGCATCGGAAAATTACATGAAAGTCCAAGTAAGGTCACTTACTATGTAAATTGAGGTGTGTAACACAAATACATAAAGAGAGCACGTGTACCATGTGAAAATAACTTACAAAAAAGATAATGTGGAAGTAATTGCAACTACCAGGGTCTACCTTTTGGTTCATACGTCGAGTTTTCCAATGCTACAGTGGTCTCAGTAACACACAATCAAATAAGAAAATGGGATCTCATGTAAAGCATTACATATTGGGCTAACAAATAATCTCAGCCTCAGGAATGAAGTGTTTTCAAAGAATGTTTTATTGAGAAAATTCTTTCATAAGCTACCAGATATTGTCGCAGTTATGTAAGTTAGAAAACGACAGTGTCACCGGAAACATAAGTGCTCGTTTTGCCAAATAACAATCAACTCAATTATTTGACTTCGGTTTACAGTAAATTTCAACTGAATTGGCGTATTGTACTACGAACTATTTATAAAAGACTTCATCAAAAGATTGCTTTTTTTCCTACTTGCGGCGGTATGGGAAAGTAAACGTGTAATACCAAAAGATGCTTGTAATGATTTATTGCCAAGTCACCCTGTGTTTCGTAATTTGTGCAGTGTAAACACCTTGTGGCTAATAGTGTTTTCACTGAATTCTGCCTTACAGTCTAATCACTACCGTCTTCAGAAAGAGAGATTGTAGGCATTTCATTTTGAATCACCTTTTAAGGAACTAAATCTTCACTATCCTTTTGATATAGAACTAATCAGAACACGAAATGCATTACCATAAATTTGATGTTACGTCTTTGATTACAGAGGATTGCGTTACTGTATTCGGATTAACTTGTTTTACTGTCAACGATCGGCGCACTTCTCGTAATATATTAGGCCTTCTGGCTGAAGGCAGCCATTCGTAACGTATATTATTTCACAAGATACTTTGATGTATACGCTGTAGATAGTTTAATCAGAAATCGGGATGTGAAGGTAAAAAGGAACGAACATTAGTTAGCTTCATCTTGGAAATAGTTCACCTTTATTTCGTAAGGTTTTTAACAATGAATTTGTTATTAGTCCCCAATATATCTCAGTTCGGTCAAAATTAATGATTCATTATATAATTATTTGCATAATAAACATTAACTGCTGTGGTGTTGACATATTGACCATTTTAACCACCGCATAGCTTCAGTTCTGTTCAAGACCTTTTACGTGTCTTCATGACCAGTTTACGTTCATGAGAACAGACGTCCTTCGTACATTTTGCCTACCTGAGTCTAAGTTAGCACTCAGTGCATTTACTGGAACTCTGTGACTATAAGATATAGCTGAAATTCATTTTTAAGTTACTGATTGACCATGGGCAAGGAGCTGGCTAGAAACAAATGAATACATTGTGTTCTTGTAGTTTGCTGCTCCTAAGCCCTAAAAACGTTTAAGGACCTCAATTCCTAATTCACTTGCAGGCACTTTAAAATCTCAATATAAACAAATGACGTTTACCGATTAAACTATCGAGAAAGTCCCCCTGGAAACTCCGATTTGGTGAGGTGACAAAGTTCACAGCTTAACACGATTCGACCACATGAAAGTTAAACTTCAAAGCTTGAAAGGTCAAGTGCCTTGCTGAACATTCACAGCGACGTTCAATTCAAGCGCTGGTACGGGTTAACAGACAAACCGATCTTTTCCTTTAGGGTGTATGGCCGTACAACTGAAGACGAATTTATAAGCATAGTACTAGTTTCGGTAGAGACAACAGAAACAATTGTATTCATCAAAGACCTTGTTGAATTATGATCTACTTTCGTTATTAGTACTGCTCCAATAATAGATCTAATCCTAAAATTGTAGATTTTTCACGATGTGACTACCTAATCTATAAGATCTAACATGGAAGTCACCTTGTCTACACTGACTCTTCCTATTGTGAGGATCACCAGTATATGGTGGGTAACACATTTAAGCTGAAGATATAACAATAAATTTAATATGAACAGAGTAGATGAGCTACAAAGAATGAACACGCCTTCAAGACTAAGCCATGCCATCCTATGAATTTCGAGTGAATGTTCCCGCGTTCACCATTGTTGACCTTCCCTTAGTATTACATGTTGAAAGTCTACTTTTCCAGTAATCTCATGTTCAGCTTTGAGGATTATGGTTAGGACCAATGCCACTACAACTTCATGTCATCCATCGATTTCGTCGTCACTCTAATGATGATGTCAATAAACAAAGTTGTTTCTTATAGTACTCATATGGGGGTTTGCTGATGAAAGAGGTTCAGGCAAATCTTAATTTAGGAAGAGGTTTTCTTTAAAACATTCACATGAACACAACATGGATATATGTTAAGAGAATCGCTTCTTTATTGGCATCTCCATCCACCGTTTCATGTGGCAAAGGGCTGAAATA